TGGCAGGTCCAGCAAAGAAGCGCGCGCAGGCCGAGAAGCAGTCCAACGGCTCCTCCAATGGCTCCTCCTCTGAGTCTCGCGGTCCTACTCAGCGCTCCGCTCCAAAGTCCATTCCTCGTGTCGACGGAAACCGCGATCCCAACGTTCGCGCTTGCGTCGACTACACCGATCCCCGAGACCTCAAGAACATCTCCGATTTCCTTGGTATTGCCGGCTGGTACCAGGCTCGCGGTGTAAGTACAAACACCCCTCTGTCCCAGGCCGCATGTGCATCTTGCATGTATTCTTCGTGCAAACATACCTCCCCGCACTGCCCCAATGCAAACAGCTTCGGGCTCGCATCCTACCATGATTGGTATGGATACGCTCTCCAGGTTGTGAGCATAAGAGCTATCTCTCCGTGTGGCTTGCCCTTCTCTCATATTTGCCCTCATTCTTTTCCAAAACATCATTTGGATTCTGTTATCTTTCTGTCCCACGATCCCTTCCCATTATTCTCATAATCCCAATTTCCCTCATTTCCCATCTTCATTATGGTTGGCCAAGATGCCCCTCCCCATCGCTTCTACCAGGACACCAGCCTCTACACTCCGAGGCACAATAACATTCTCTTTGCTAACGACCATCAGCTCACCATCCCGGGCTCTCTTCCTCAACGTCCCAAGAACTTCAACCAGTTCGGCAAGGCCGCCAACATCGTGCTCAACACCTTCAACGTCATCAAGGCCCCTAACAGTGTCGTCCATCAGTATGATGTAAGTCTCCTCATACCTCAAGCTTGACTTGATACTAACTTCTACAAGCTCAACTACAGCGGCGACGCCCTCGACTACACCAAGCGTGTCCTGCTGAAGAAGATCTGGAACTCCCCTACTGTCAAGTCCGAGCTTGGTGAGCCCGCCAACCTCTGGGTCTGGGACACCAACAAGCTGGCTTGGTCCGGTAAGCGCCTGCCCCGTGACGATACCCGCATCACTGTCGATCTCGATGAGGAGGAAGGCCGTCCTACCAAGCCAGGTGCGCGTGGCAACAAGCACACCATCCACGTCCGCTGGACTCGTCAGGTCGACTTCATCAACTTGAATGCTTTCCTCAATGGCCAAGCTTCTTGGTCTAACGAGTGTATCGACACGATCAACTTCCTTGACCATGTCATGCGCGAGTGGCCTTCTCAGCAGTACACCCAGATCAAGAAGTCCTTCTTCCAGCGCGGAGAAGTCCGCTTCGACCTTGGTGGTGGTGTTGAGGCTTTCAAGGGTGTCTTCGCCTCCCTTCGCCCCGTTTTGGACGACAAGTTCAACAAGTCACTGTCCGTCAACGTCGATGTCGCCAACGGTACCTTCTGGCGTGCTCAAGAGCTCACCCGCGCTATTGGTCAAGTTTTCAACTGTAGCCCGCCTCAGTTCGCCACCATGTACAAAAACGCCACTCGTGACTGGAAGGGCTCCATGCTCAAGAAGGACCTCCGCAAGTTCAAGAAGGTTGGAGTTACTGCCATGCATACGAAACCGCCTACACAATGGTAAGATATTTTTCGGTTTGCCGACTACATACGCGAGATGTACTAACTTTGAACCTCAGGACGATTGATGAGTTCGTCGACAAAGACGCTTCCCAGGCGACTTTCCCAGATCCCGATGACCGTTCCAAGAAGATCTCAGTTGCTCAGTATTTCAAGAAGAAGTATAATGTCACCGTTATGGCTGGTCTGCCGGTAGTCAAGATGACCAAGAAGATCCGCAAGGAGCCTGTCTATATGCCTGTCGACGTCCTGAAGATCGATGGCAATCAGCGCTACAACACCAAGCTCAGCGATACCCAGACGTCCAACATGATCAAGTTCGCCGTCACCCTTCCCAAGGAGCGCTGGGCCGCTGTTCAGTCTGGAGTCCGACTCCTGAATTGGGAGCATGATCCCTACCTCCGTCACTACGGCCTGAAGGTTAGCCCCGCGCCTGCCAAGGTTCAAGCTCGCATTCTTCCTTCACCCACTGTTCACTTCGGCCCCGGTTCCAAGGAGGCCACCATCAAGCCTGCGGACATGATCGCTGGCCGCTGGAGGCTCGACGGTCGCAAGTTCGCCATGAACAACAAGGAGCGTCCAATCAAGGCCTGGGGTGTATGTTGTGTTCAAGGCCGTGGCAGTCCTCCTCCTCAAGCCATTGAAGCCTTCTTCCAGAAGTTTGTCCAGATCTACGAAGCCCACGGTGGACTTGTAGCTGCCCACCCTCAGCATGGCAAGAAGCCATGGATGGGTCCCGGTAACCTTGCTGATGGTGGTGAGATGATCCAGAAGGTCTGGAACCAGACCGGCAACAAGTACGCCATGCCACCTAATCTTCTCTTCTTCGTCGTCAACGACCGCAATGTCGACGTCTACCGCCGTATCAAGAAGTCTTGCGACATTCGATTCGGTGTGGCTTCGCAGGTTCTTCAGGCCAAGCATGTCATGTCGGCATCACCGCAGTATATCTCCAATGTCTGCATGAAGGTCAACGCTAAGCTTGGCGGAGCTACTTCGGTTGCGAAGTCTCAGCTCATTCCCAAGATTGCCCCGAAGTCAGCATCTATTCCAACCATGGTCGTTGGCGCCGACGTCTCTCACCCTGCTCCCGGAGCCGCTTCAGGCGAGGCTGCGTCCTTCGCCGCCATCACCGTATCCGCCGACGTCCACTTTGCCAAGTACTGGGCTGAGGTTCAGACCAACGGTAATCGCGTGGAGATGGTCACAACCTCCAACATCAACGACCACTTCGGATTCATGGCCAAGAACTGGATGCAGAAGATTGGCCAGGGCAAGCCTCCTCAGCGTGTTCTCTACATTAGAGATGGCGTGAGCGAGGGCCAGTACGCCGCCGTTCTCGAGGAAGAGGTCCACGACATGAAGGAATGTTTCAAGAAGCTGGGCTGCAAGGAGATCCCCAGGTTCACCGTCGTCATTGCTGGTAAGCGCCACCATATCCGCTTCTTCCCTGAGTCTGGCAAGGGCGACCGCAACGGTAACCCTCTTCCCGGTACTTTGGTAGAGTCTGGCTGCACCCATCCGTTCGAGTTCGACTTCTATCTCTGCGCCCACGTCGCCATCAAGGGTACAGCTCGCCCCATCCACTACCAGTGCATTCTCAACGAGGGTGAGTGGCTGTCTGCCGAGCTTCAGCAGTTCATCTTCGAGCACTCGTACCACTATGTCCGCTCTACTACTCCGGTATCTCTGCACCCTGCTGTCTACTACGCTCACTTGGCCGCCGACCGCTCCCGTGCTCATCTCAACGACAACCCGGTCTCATCCGGCAAGAAGGAGTCCAAGGCCGACCAGCAGTCTTCTACTGGCTCATCCAAGCAGAACGTAGAGATTGCCCCCCTGATGCCCATGCAGAATGCACGTGGCCTCAAGGATGTTATGTGGTACATCTAAGGAACGGAAGATGTCGGGCCCATGGGTAGTGCTGGATAGGATGGTTTGAGTGCTTCGGAACACGGTGGAGGACTTGGTTGCGACGATGGCGTGAATCTGTTCACAGTGCATCAAAAGTCGGTGATTCGGTATTCTCTTCAATCTTTCCTTGCGATATCCAGATATCACGGTCCTAGCGAGGACGTCTCATGATCTCAGGTAGCTTGCCTCGCCCATCAGCGGCTTGGCAGAATCAATATGGTATAAAACAGCTCCTACTGCTTTGCGATGTTGTGATGTTGCGCATACATGCTCAGCTTCTCGCAATTGTTGACATGCTAGGAACTGTCAGCCAAATTAGTTTGATCCAGTGTCCAACGCCAGAACTGAGTTGAGTGTCCAAGATGAGACCGTGCATAGGGCCCAGCCTAGAGTTTACCTTGCTCTTCACGATCCAAAGGCTGACCTATCGCAGGCTCAGACTGCCGCATGACTGCCGCATGCTTGGCAGGAGTATAGCCACCGCCTTGATGACCCAAAGGATAGCGCCTAGCATCGAGTCGAGCTCCCATCCAGCCTGACTAACTGTTGTACCGAGGGGGTGGCCGTCCCGGAGAGTCGGGGTAGGAGTACAAGGAAAGAAGCCTGAAGTATGTATTTTCCAGGCTTCAGAACAATTGCAGATGCCAAATCGACGATGAGTAGATCGACACAGACAAATTGCTGCCTGTTCTTCTTGCGAAATCGTGTGCAAAGGTTCAGAAGCACTTTAAAGACAGGCAGGAGACGGCAGAGGCACTTCTGGCTTGCTGGACGCGCCACGCATCACGACGCGCGATACCGGGGACTTTGCGCTCACGACGACGATAGCAGCACCATAAGCCTGCCTCCTATCATAGCTTCAGCGAGTGCGAAACGACGACACTAGGGTGTTTACATACTCGATCGAGTGGCGAGCGCAACATCACATGCAGGCAGAGAGGTATGTACCGTCCAATATATTTACCTTCGCTCCACCAGCGCAAAGCGCAGAAGAGAAGGGGGTAAGCGAACGCATAATCATTCTAACCTCCATTTTCCCCTCCAAATCTTCATTGAGTGGAAGACACAGAGTGAATAATGGGGTGTTCAGTTTTAATGAACAGAAGAGGATCGCGCGACGCGTTGATTTTGATGGCTGCGAAGATTTCGGATGACTAAGGGGCGCTTGCATGGTTGGGGTTAGCCATAAAGCAAGGGTCAGGTGGGCGAATCAAGGCTGGCGCGTTGGGTGTGACGAGTATGGTGGGGCAGGGGATTTTGGGCGGCGGCGCGGGGTTTTGTTGTCGGCCTGTGGGAGTGACTCTTTTGCAATTTCGAGGATCAGAAGGAATTCTGGGCGTAATAGGTGAGTAAAGACTCTGTATGCGGCGAACAACGTGGGGTGGGAAGCTAACGACCCGTAGTTTGATAGACCTGTACTCTCACACCCACCCTTGTGAACGGAGATCCTTACACAAACGCACCTTACCCACTCTCCACTAAAGCTTCCCACGGCTCGAAGTATTGCGAGAAGAACTAAAGATTCAACCGCAACCCCGACTCCTCGATACCGACAAAGTCCCTCGATTAGCATACAGACTCGACCTGCAAGCAGTCTCGATACCGAACACGTTCCACTTCTACACAAACAACTCAGACACACAACATGTCTTCAGCAGGACGTGGTCGCGGCGGCAAGTTCAACAAGGTCAAGCGCGGAGGCGGCAAGAAGTTCTCACGCGACCTACAACCGCTGAACGCAGATGGCGAGGTCGTTGGCATGTGGGGTGTAAGTACCTGATGTACCCAAAGTCACAAAGATTGTCTAACAGATGACCGCAGGAACAACCCGACAAGGTTGACGAAGAGTCTTCCGAAGAGGAAGAATCCTCCGAGGAAGAGTCCGGCGACGAGGATGGCAAGCCCGCACAAGAAGAGTTGACGCGCGAGCAGCGTCGTGAACTCGCAAAGAAGCGCAAGGCGGCCGCGATCGCGAAGAAGTCACAGAAGACCCCCGAGGCAGGCGACATGCCCACCGACTCCTCCGAAGAGGAAGACGACGATATGCCCGCGAACCCAAACCACACTGCGAAAGCACGTACACAAGCCGCAAAGGCACCCGTCGACCCAGACGCGGAGCCCGCTGCTGCTGCTGCTAAGGGCAAAGGCAAGCAGCAAGACCTGTCTCAGCTCTCCCGCCGCGAGCGTGAGGCTCTCCAGGCACAAGCCAGCAAGGACCGATACGATAAACTACACGCTGAGGGCAAGACCGAGCAGGCTCGTGCCGACCTAGAGCGCTTAAAGCTGGTCCGCGAGCGTAGGGATGCTGAGGCGGCGCGGAAGAAGGCTGAGGCCGAGGAACGTGCTGAGCTGGAAAAGGAGAAGAAGGAGCTCATGGATCGCGAGAACAGGCGGCGGGAGCAGGCCAAGGGCAAGGCGGACCGTCTTGCTAAGGGCGGCAAGAAGAAGGCCTAAGTCTGACGGACATTGTTAGGCTTGGAGCTTTCGCGACGTTACCAGTTACCTCTGCGACGCCCGAATGCCAGTGTATGTGTGCGAACGCACTCCGTTCCACGCTTCCGGTTTGCATGGTTGGCGTACGGCGTAGCCACTTCGAGCTACTGGTCGATGCTCATGATGCGATGATAGAATCGAGTACAGGACGGCGGCATGGTGTATACCATGTAGCCTGCTGGATGTTCCAAAGAAGAAACAAGTGTGATCCGAGTTCACGAACCACGAACACCATTTTGCTTGCCGTGATCAATGTACCAAGACTGAGAAGATGAATGCACACCCTGTGACCGACACACAACATCTCACATTCAGGCAGCCCTGATACTGCACTGCGTCTAGAAATTTCGATAGCAGATACGAGTTCACATGTAAGCTGTGAGCCCTCAAGCCGCCCTTGTGCTTCCCCGCGAGTTAGTGCCTCGCCTCGCGAACGCGAAGGTTCACGACTTCGTCATCACTCCCTCCACTATATGAACATCGCAATGATGCCACTGATACTTCCCATCATGCGCATATACGTACAGATCCTATCGTATCATTGCGCATCGCGTTACGACTCTGTTGAGCATGGCTGAACCAATACCTGCTGAGGAACAATCCAACTTCGAGACCTTCCGCGACTGCCTGAGCGAACCCGTCCTCAAGGCTCTAGCTGCACCGATCGAGAAGCCGAAACCGAAGAAGAAGAGACATGCGAAGAAGGGGTCAAAGAGTGGGAAGAATGAGGTCGTCAAACAGGAGGTTGTACCAACGGTGGTAGAGGCCCAAGAAACGGATGCAGAAGACCTGGGCGAATTCATAGAAGTACATCAACCCTACGAACATACACCTACAAGCGTGCTCTAGAGCCTTACTAACAGAAGAACCAGTACCTAAGCACCCTAATCTTCCCCTTCCTACCCGCCGAACTGCGCACGCTCACGCATTCGATCTTCAAAGACTCACCGTCCCTTCAAGACCTCTACACAACGCCCCTGTCATCCTCAACCTCCACCGCCCTCCTGCACACCATCCCACCCACCGCAATCGACAGCCTAGAAAGCTACGGCCTCCTCCCACCCACCTCCGACACCATCGACCAACACAACCTCCTCACACCGCTCCTCACAACATACATCTCCGCCGTCACCGCCCCGCCCCCAATCTGGAGCAGCACGCGCGCCACCGCCTGCGAGCTCTGCAGCAGAGACTGGGTGCCGCTGACATACCACCATCTCATCCCTAAAGCAGCGCATGCGCGCGTGAGGAAGCGGGGGTGGCATACAGAGGATAAGCTGAATAGCGTGGCGTGGTTGTGTAGGGCTTGTCACAGTTTTGTGCATAGGCTGGCGGGGAATGAGGAGTTGGCTAAGAACTTTTATACAGTCGAGTTGATACAAGAGGGTGGTGTGGAGGAGGATGTCGACAAAAGGGAGAGTGTTGAGGGGTGGGTTAAGTGGGTTGGGGGTGTTAGGTGGAGGAGTCGGTAGGATGTGATACGCTGGAAGTGTGTCGGATGCGGTGTTCTGAGGTTGGTGCTCGAACACCTTTGAGTGATTGTGGTATTGTCCCTGGATGGATGCGCGACACTCTTTGGGTTGCGAGTACCACAGGACGGAAACCCTCGCTTCTCTCTATTCTGCCAGCACTTTCGTGCTCTGTCTATATTCATCTTTCCGTCTCACACTTTCCGTCTTCTATTCTCTACGTCTCGACACCGCATATCACCCAGTAAGCGATCATGCTACCGTGCTTCGCCTACTCTGTCTTCCGACTCACTGTCTACCCCATTTTCATCGCCCTCATCACCACCGTTACGGCCATCGTCACCATAGACCCATTCAAGAACACCACACTTCAGTACTTTGCTATTGGAAATATCGGTGCAGCGTCATGGGGTGTACTTGCAGGTGCCCTATAGACTAGGAGAAGAAGCAGTACAATGCAAATAAGAGTCAAGAAAGAGAAGCAGGGAGAAATGTTGTTGTGGTGTGGTGAAAATGGTATCGATTCATCCATTAGAAGTCGAGTCAACCGACCGACCTCTGGAAAGCACATATGCACGCTAAAATGAGGATATACTACGGGTATCCAGCCCTCAAAACGCCGGTGTCGATATGCGACAATGCCTAATCCAAACAAGTAATCGTTGATACATATCCCTCAAGTCCAGCTCGGAGATGACCATTATAATGGCGCGTCGTCAAGAAATCCCTTCTCTACTTCATCCTCAAAGATCGAGTACGAACGCCCGCGCTCGCTCATCTTGTTCTCCTTCTTCCTCGCATCGAGACTTGCGCGAACATGTTTGAGGAAGGCCTCGGTGCTTGGATCGCTTGGTGTACGGTGGAGTTCGCAAGGTCCATTCGATGCATTCGCAACGGGTGCTGGTGCGATGATGTTGGAAGACGTAGTGGCTGAAGTCTTTGCCTTCCGTTCCACGGTGCATAGTCTTTTCGCAGACTCCCTGAACCTCTTGAAGGGATCTTCGACTTTGGTCTCAAGCTTCTCCAGCTTGTGTAGCATCTGAAACTCCTCGCGGACTCGTCGTGCTGCCCACTCACCGGCAGGGAAGGATCTTCGTCGTTGGGTGGTGGCGAGGTAGTCGTGGTAGGCATCGCTACTTAGGCGAAGCTCGAACTCGCTTGCTGGGCTGCTGTGCGTAGGAGCAGGTGCAGGAGCAGGAGCAACTATCGGTTCCGGTACGGTAGGAACAGGTGTGGAGGTGAAGTCGACGAGTTGACCTGGATGCATTTCACCGGTGGTGTCACACCGTGTGGAGGGCGCCAAGACTGTCAAGGTCTTCTCGGAGTCTGCCAGTGTGCTATTCTTTTCAGAGGCGAAGAGAGCTTCAGCATCTGTTGCTCTTGAATCGACTCTTTGTCTCTTGCGGCTTTCCTCCATGTCCGACCTTGGAGAGCCAGAAGCCGACGATATGGATGTTCGTGGGCTAACCTCAGGGGAGCGATCTTGACTCTTTCGCCGAGACGCAAAGCCAAAGCTGAAGTTCATGTTGAAGATCTGACTTGCCCGACGACGGCGTTTCTTCTTGAGGTTTGGGAATGACCAGGGAGCAGCGCTGCTCACTGGTTTTGATGCCATGGGGCCGGAGTGGGGCAGCAATGATGGGAGTGGTCTGCTTGTGACTTCCATCTTGAAAGGGTTTGAAGTTGAAGGTGTGAGTGGCGTAAGGGGTGTGAACGGGTTGGTGAACTGCAACTTGTTGTTGTGGTTGTTGTTGGGTTCTTGCTTGGTGACTCTCGGTAACGGGAGTGTACGATGTGTGTTCTGTTGTGGAGGATAATAGAGTTGCAAGTTTCGTGCTACCTGGCTCGCGGCGGTTGTCTCACTGGATAAGTAGGCGTCTCGTGTGAATGCATAGAACAAGTCATCTTGCAGGCAGTGTTCACGAGGCGCTGGTCGTGGGAGACGTGGGTCCGCGAGAGGCGATGCCGGCGAAGTGTTGGTCGAGGTTTGCTGCACGGGGAAATTCGGAAAAGGGCTGGTTTGTACAAGCCATGGGGGCGTGGTGCAGTCATATGGTGTTGGCGCGAACATTTGACCTGTGATCGCGTGGGTGTGGCCTCGTGCCGAGCACGCGGATGTGACTCCGAGGTTTTCCCGATAGCGGATTGGAGTTGCGGTGTGGAGCTGGTAGTCGCCAGCCATGTGTTGGTGATTTGATGGTGTCTCGGTAAGCGAGGTCCGGTGTGCAAATGTGCTGGACTATCTGCTATGTTTAAAGATCGTCGCCTGGGAGGTAGCCGCGGTAGCCAGAGATAACGATTTCCTGTGTTCTTGACCGCTGAAGTCGATTCCACGTTATATACCGCCTCTTCTGCATCATGGCATCTGCACGAGCTCGCCGACGAAAAGACTCACCGCGCCGGTACACTTGCCCGTGCACCGCCCCTCAACCTGTGCATGCGTGCCTCGACACTGACAGACCCGGATATTCCAAAAAAGATAGAAAAACAACCTCCCCACGGGTCTTGTCATGATACATCACTCTTACACCTCATGCCACCGTACTCGCGGGCCCACACGCCCTCTGCCAGCGGTACAACCAACAGCACACCGCACATCGTGACCAGGTCCCACGTCTTTCTGCGACACTAGCTTGATGACGGCGCGTTGTTGGTGAAGTTGATCGCTGGTTGGTTGCGGGGGCGCGACGTGCCGTTTGGCACCCGTGGGTAAGATGTGCGTCGGATTGTGGGTGAACCGTGGGCGGCAGACCGAGATCGCCGACTAGTGAAGTTTGGTATTGAGATCCAGGGTCCATGACAGATCTCAACGCATCTAGATCTGAACGCTCCAGTGCGCAGCGTGAACCATCGCGGAGAACAGCATCAAAAGCAACTTGGGAACTGAGAGTTGTTATAGAAACAGCGGAGATGCAGGAGACACGTGCTGATCCTTTCATCCCAGGTGCAAAGATCTTCGCTTCTCGCCGAACCGTACCGGGTGGCCTCGCAGCCAGAACGTAGCTATGAGCTAGTATTCAGGAGGCTGTGTATGGAGCTGGACGGACGAGCGCATCTGTGTGATTCAATGAACACATCGTGCCCTCTTCAAAATTCCATGTGCCGAGGTCAACTTGTCGTACCTTGGGCGAACTAGAAAAAAGCACAGTGGATGTTGACGACCTTCTAGATCAGCAGTGCAGGTCTGGTGACGCACAATATCCATAAAAATTGATACTCATGTCCTTGACGAGGTTAAAGGTAAACTACTACTCTGCCTCGACGTGTTGAGACACAGTCGACTGCACAAGTACCTCGGTAGATGAGCGCGGTACAGCTAGGCTCAAGCCAACCAAGAAGCAACGACCACGGCATTTATTCGGTCAACGACAAATTGCTCTACGACATATTTCTCTTCATCACAATCATAATCCATTCTCTTAGCGACTCTTCGTCTTCACCCTTCTCTCCAACTCCATAGCCGCAATAATCGCGCAACCAACTCCACTCCCGTCTTCCGCGCTCGTAATCGTAATTGGACCATCCCCTCCACATTCTTCTTCTTTCCATCCAAGCACTTCACCCAAAGCCTTAGCCCATCTCCTCTTGAACTTTGGATGCTTGTTCGCCACACTCCCGTCTGCAGCTACATGGCCCTTCTCGATACCTTCCATGGTGCAGATGGCAGCTACACCACAAGCACATAGTCGCGCACCACGCACAGCGATCATCTCAGCTAGTCTACGTGAGAGTTCGATCTCGACGTCTGTGGGCTGAATCGAGAGTGCGGAGTGGAAGAGTTCGCGTGTTTTGGTGAATTTGGGCGACTCGTCGTCTTCTATCTGAGATAGGAAGCCTGTATCGATACTGTATGGTTCACGTATTGTCTTTGTATCTTCCTTCGAAGTCTGACTAAAGACCAAACCGCGATCTAGGAGATCTATCAGTATGAGACGGAAGATTTCGCCTAGGTAGAGACCAGCGGAGAGCTTTTCGAAACTCTGCTCGCCAGGTCGGGGGCTCTCTGCATCGATTTGCTCGTCGTATTTTGTGCGGGGAAGGACACGGCCGGCTTGATCGAAGGCGCCATACTCGCAGTTGATCGCCATCTTCTCTTCACCCTTTGTCGCGCCGTTGTGCGATGATGCATCCGTGATTCTCTCGTCATTGGAGTCTAGTTTTCCAATGCTCGAAAGGCTGGCCATGAAAGCTGCGTTGCAGCCAGTACCAAAGATGGCGCCGACAATCGTGTCTGGGTCATTGTAGGCGGAGGCCACCATGGCGCCGACGGTATCATTGATGACGCAAATCAATTCGACTGGTAGCTTTCTTTCTTGCAGCTTATCTCGAAGTTGCTTCGCAGCGTCCTGACCTTCTACACCCTTGATGTCAAAACCTTTGGTCCATGTCTGCAGGACTGCGTGGTCGATACGTTTCTGTGTCGCTGGATAGCTGAATGTGAAGCCCAGTGGCATGGGCTTCTCCGCGCTGTATTGCTCATGAAGCTTGCAATCGTGGATGAATGCCGCCACCTTTTCCGTAACGAAGTTCCAGAGACTATCAGCATCCCCAGTCTTCATCTCCTCTGGTAACTTGTATTGCTCTTGCTCCATGCTGTGCTTCCCATCTCCTTGTTTCCTGCCTTCATCTCCATGCAGATCCACTTTACAGACTCTCAAGTTTGTACCACCAAGGTCAATGGTCAGTATTGTGCCCTTTTCTTTCCCCGAAGGCAAATTGTGCACCCAAGTGATGTTCATAGGTATGCCCTCTTGTTTGTCTTTGGTGAGGCCTTCTTCTAACTCTTCTCTGAAACGGCTAATAATTTCCTTTAGCTTAGAACCGGAGATCCAGAACTGTTTGTCAAGCCTTGCGAGTTCATCGTCCAGGTTTTGTGGTAGATTGGCCATCTTCTCGAGTTCAGAACGTTGCCGCCATGATGTAGTGGCCTCCTCGTCTATGCGCCGGCCTGCAGATGTAGACATAGTGGAAGTGTAGTATATGAAAATGTGAAGAAGGCGCTAAGAATAGTCCCAAAAGAACTTAGACGTGCCTGTTCAAAAGAGAAGAGTATGTACGAATTGTTTGAATTATTTTCATGTCCATATTTACAGCGGTCGACATGATGACATCACACGACGCTTGCCACGGCCCTGACTCCTAATTCAGACATCTGTCGCAATTGTAGCGGATCTTATCGTTCCAAGGAGCCTTCTTTCGTGTAAATGACGTGCGTCTGGCATAGCAGAGTGGGAGCCGCGTGGGTGCCGCGTGGGTATTGCTAGAGCCTCGGGCCGAGAACCGCCGTACGTCTTGTTGTTGAGTGGGCCGTGGGTTAGGGGCTGAAAGCCAGAAAAGCAAACAAGATGCATGCGAAAATAGATAAAATTCTGATGAGATGACTGATGTGTTCGCGCTTTCTTTAGGCAGCGCCCGTGGTATCGACCGAATCCTTTACTCCGTCTAATGCGCAATGTACCGTCTTGTGATTATTGTAATCAAACAAAGGAAATAGAGGTCGCTGTGGGTTCAGCAAACGAATGTTTCGACAATAGTCGTATGGTGGGCCGCCTTGTGCAACACGAAGCAACAGGACTTCCGAGGTGGTTTCGTAGTAACCGTGGTCTACGCAGCGCACTTCTGCCCGAACATCCCATGCTCGACTCTAGCGTGATTTGTTCGGACGACTACGGGTGCGTCGAGTGTCGCTAGATTCTCCTTCCCCTCCTTTGCCGCGGCTCTTGTGTTTAGCAGGCTTAGGTATGTCTGCCACCCAATGGCAATGACACCACCAAATATGCTTCTGTATTCTATGGGGATGTATGTGAAACTGAATGCCGTGACCATCGGCCAGACTTTGCAGCTGTTGATCCAACTTGTTGGCACTGTGTTCTTGATGCGTTCGACAATTTCGGGTATCGTAGCGCCGGATAGAAGCGACTGCATGCCGAAGAAGTAGGAGTTGAATAATGGTGTGAAGAAGGCCTGGTTTATGAAGACCTGTTGGATAATGAGCAAGCATTCGTAGATTATGAGGTAGGGGCACGCACCTTTGTCGAGAGCGACAGTATCTTGGAGCTGTAGTTGAAGTTGTTTGACAGCCACATGAACCACTTGTACGATGGGATAGAGCTGAGTCCTCCAATTACCAGCGCTCGCCCTGTCCGAGCCCAGTCACGGCCGTCGCTCCATTCTTGAACCCAGCCCTTCTCGTCCGCATTTTCTGCCACTTTCTGAGTTTCTTCGGGCGCAATACTTTGCGCAACGAGGTCGCCGATGAAGTATATGACGAGCGAAGATATGAGTTGTGTCCTGTATGGCCTCCTTTGTTGTACGCGACCGTATGCGCGGAAGGGTCCGACAATGGGTTGGAGCCAAAGCCAGCTTGGCCCAGGAATCGTCTGCGCATTCTCCGCCACTCTGCCTGCTGTGTTCGGCTTCGAGACATGCGGTCTACGGACGACATTCGAGGGGTGGACGTTGTTGCGTGCGCGTTCGAAGGTGCCGGGATTGCTGTTCCGAGGGGAAGGGGCGTTCGGAATGCGCCTCAAGCCGACACGGGTCCAGGCGCAGTAAGGAGCGATCATGATGGCGGTTTGTGAGCTCTCATGAGTTTGGAGAAGAACTTAAGGGGGCAAGTGAAAGTGAGGCATGTTGTGGTGTTTTAAGACTTGTCAATCTCCGCAGAGGCCCAGACACGGTTGTCCGAGTGTCGGCGGCGAAATGATGAGATTCAGGGTCCAAGTGCGCAAATAGCCGGCTTAGTCAAGCATGGCATTTGACCTGGCCCGGGTGTCACAACACAGCCAGGTACACATGCCGTGACATGCGCACTGGGGGCTACAGGGTCATCACACACGTGGCACAGCTGACGTCTCTGCGCCATACACCGTCACTACCATTGGCTCCGTCTCTTTGCGTCTGGGAGCCATTCCTGAAACATCCTCTTGAGGCCCTGCCAGTCACCCTCGACAGTCTCACGCTTCTCGTCATCCACGAACTCGGCATTGTTCATCCCACCAAAATCAATGGCCCAAGCGTCCATCTCTTCGTCAATGATAACATTCATCGGGTAGACATCGCCCCACACAATGCCGTGAGCGTGGAGCTCCCGCACGATGGCTGTGAGTTGTTCTTCCCACTGTTTATGCAACTCTTGTCTGTCCTGAAGGCCAGCACTTCGCAGGTGGGTCCCCATGCTGGATGAAGTGATCAGTGTCATCAACATGCCGATGGTATCCTCGCCCGACACCACCACACCCTGCAGTCTAGGCACTCTGAGCCGAACTGCCAGACCGGCTTCGTCGATACGTCTTAGGATATTGAGCTCACGCTCGAATTCTGCCTCACGTAGCTCCATCCGCGGCTTGAAGTACAGCGGGCTACCCTCTGCCGTTACTACTCTGCCTTGTACTGCATCGAGATTCTTCCCCTCGTTTGCTGTGCGTGCTATCCGAAGGTTGCGCGCCTCAAAGTGACGTAGTGCTTTGCATGGTCTAGGCAAGTCGGCTGTGCGCATAGGGGAGATGAAGAAAGCTGGCGTGTACACGCACTTGTCTCCTCCTACGATACGTACATCCTCGCTGCTTTCTCCTCGAGTGAGCTCTAGATCATAAGTAGGCGAGTGGAGAAAACCTTCAAGGCTGAGGTCCTGGAGTGACGTCCGCGGAGCCAAGCTTTCGAGAAGAGGCAGGCAGTGTTGATAGATCAGGTCGAACAGTGGCATGTCTCTCGCTTTGCCCCGTGGACGCCTTTTCCGCAGCTCCATCTGTTGTACCAGCTTTTTACCAAAACTTGTGCCATCCACTCGCGCGACTGCGACATTAACTTGGAATCGTGCGTTGCCACGGAGCACTGTCATCAGGCATGTTTCTTCAGTGGCAAAGCCTGAGGGACCCATGTTGATATGGTAATTCTGATTCATTGTTGTCTATTTCCGCAGTATACGAGACGGGCGCGTGTGGGATCGATGTGTGAAATGTCGGTTGCCAGGTATTGTAGGCAAGGCAGCTACCTAGCCAGGTACGCGAGGTTTCTTACATCACGTGTTTGGGCCACCTTAGCGCTACCTAGGTAGAATCAGACCCCTCACATATGAGCTGTTCACATTCTCTTCTGATAACCGTGAAACCGCCGGAACAAGGAATAGAGTAGGTGTAGGTAAAGAGAGCGGCGAGACCGATAAAGCCGAAAAGGCATCAATTCCAATTCGTCGTGAGGTATAAGTATGTACACAAGAATCGAAAGCAGCGACGCTCAAGCCGCGTATTGCAGGAGGCAAAGCCTACTAAACACTAACAAAATTGTACTAAAAAGAAGTCCATCATGAACTACACACAAAGACACCAGCGTCGCCTTTTTTGTAACCCGACAACTCCCGCAACTTAGACGAGCGCTTACAAGCACTGGGAGTACCAGTCATTCTGCTTGACACACTTGCAGCCTGAAGCGCAGCTCGTAGCGCCGGTGTAGCCCTGGCCACCGCACTGACCGTACTTCTGAGCTGTAGCACCACCAGCGGTAGGAGCAGGCTTAGCAACAGTGGCGAGAGTGGTCTTGGCGGTGGTCGTGGGGGCGGCGGCCTTGGTAGTGGTAGGGGTAGAGGCCTTAGTGGTAGTAGCGGCAGGTGCGGCGACCTTGGTGGTGGTGGGCGCAGCAGGGGCAGCAGCACCGGCACCATTCCAGAGCTTCGGTCCTGGGATGGGGTAGCTGGAGTATGAGCCGTAGAGGTTGAAGTGGACACCGGCGTCCTGGGCGCTGAGGTGACCAGGGATAGCAACACCGGCGGGCAGAGCAGTAGTGCCAGAGCCACCGACCTTTACGTGAATGCACTGAACAACAAGTTAGCGACGTTCTGAAGAAGAGTTGTTTCGGCGTATTGTGCATTACATACCTCTTGGTAGAATTGAGCACCACCAATACGGTCGCCCTCGTGGAGAGCGATGATCTCGGGGCGGATGATGTAGTCGCCCGGTGCAACCTTGGGCAGAGTGAACTTGTGCTGTCCTGGCTTGCCAGTGTACGAGCCCTTGATGAGCTTATCAACAGCCCACGATTTGCCGTCGTAACCGTCCTCAGCAATCTTTGTCCATGACATGGAAGAGCCAGCCTTGGACATGTAGACGGTGATAGGTCCCATGTGGGATGGGTCGATGATGTCGTCGCTAGCGTCAGCGGTGTTGTGGTGCCATTCAACCTAGGGGCGGTCGTCAGTGCTTGTTCCGTTTAGAAGTCGCAAGGTTACATACAGCAATCTCATCACCACCGTTGACGGCAACGGACTTGGAAGCTTTGATGTTGGCTACGTTGCACTCCATAGCCTTGGAGGTGACATCAACCACGGGGTTGTTGTTTGGAGGAGAGTCAATGTATCCGCCCTGGACATTTCCGAGACCCTGGGTCTTTCCGTTGACAGAAATACTGTAAACAGTAGTGTGGGCGCTAGCAGCACCGGCAAGGGCGAGAGCGAAGATGGAGGCCTTCATCTTGGAGTAGAAACTTTGAGGAGTTGATCGGGTGGTGGAGTAATTGTTCTTGTAAAGAGTGACTGTCTGAAGAGAACGACGAAGTAAAGATCGAAGAATTCAAAGATTGGAAAAGAACGTGTAGAGAACGAGTGTGTTGAGCGTCAAGCGTACCCCTTAAACGAAGGCAGGCTCTGTGGGCTTTATACTTGCTGAATCCTTCCGTACACGCAGTCACGGTCCCAAGATATCGCCATCTCGCTTGGTGATTACATGTCAGTTCAGTGCTCCGACTCAAACAGCCACCAGGAACGTGGCGGCGGTTAGACGTGCAGGCAGACATGAGATACCATCGTATCCTACAGGACACTAGTGCTTGGAAGGGGCTAGAGCCGCCGTTAGAAGCAGATGGGCCGTTGGGCGTGACAGGTGAACGTAGAGCTATACCGTATGGGGTATGCAGGATCCAAGAGGCGGTGTTGCGACACTGTGCTTCCCCTGTGACGATCGGTTCTAGGTGCAGCATCTTGGGTTCTTGATTCAAGCAACATGAAACATGAGCGAGGACATCCCTTCGGATGATCTAGCGAAAATCCTTCCTGAGCCATCGAAGCCCGAAAGCCTCGGTATCGTCTTGCTAGAAGACTCCTGACAGTGCGATAAGGCCGCTATGCGGCGGTGTGTACTTGACATGAAGTCGTTGCGACTTTACGTCTCGGACCTGGAAACACGTGAAGCAAGCATGGAATATTTCCAGTGACACTCATCTCGGTTCAGTGTCTAGAACGCCATGTCCTGCCGCCCAGAACAGTACTGAAAAGCGGCGTCAAGATGTTCCGTCATGCCGCAGACGCCTACGAAGAGTGGAAATGAGCGGGGGAGCGCGCGTCGCATTGTCGAGCGATGTCCGATTTCTTTGTGGACCAAAGTGCCAGGACTTCGTCGTTAGATCCAACGTGTACGAATCAGTAGCCTTCTAGTATGGTGGTCAGAGTGACTGTTGTGACGATGCCGTATTGAAGTCGTTATGATCAGTTGGAGGGATTGTGCTGATCCTTGGTTGCCGCACGAGCCAACAGCACTTTCCGAGCCCGCGGCTCAGTGCCTTGGCGTTCACAAATCAACCCCGAGGACGGGACGATCGGTCCGCCCAGAACACAAATATTCAATACATACAGCAGGTTGTGTGTTTCACGACAACTACTTCATGCAAGCCTCAGGGCAAAATCAACATGTGCGCTGGTTGATCAGGAATGTCCTCCCTCTTCCTGGACGTTCACATCCGACGCGCCCCTTGATGCACGCCAGATGGTGCAAGAAATGGAGAAAGGGCCGTCACGACTAGTCAAGGCGTGATGATGTTACCGTTTTTTGTTCAAATTCCCACCGTGTACTGCATGGCGTCGTGGTAGATACTGTAGATGATGTCTAGCCATGACTGTACGTGATCGCTGAGAGCTCGGCACGGAACCAACCCAGCAAGATCTCAACCACCATCAAACCGCCCACATTAGCTTCACAGCCTATACACTCGTAGATAAAAGCCCTCCTTTCTGAGCCTCTGATAGAAGTCCATCCAAAGCACTGGCTTGTACCAGAAGCTAGCGAATGTATAGCCCTGGCGACGTTCCTCTTCAAGACCTGGAAGGGTTGAAATCCAGGGGTTTTGACTCCACAAAGGCGTTGAGCGACGACCGGAGACCGCTGAGCACCAACAGAATGGGACAATACAAAGCATGCGACATATCCGAAGACGAAAAGCTACCCTTGACGTGTGGGCAAGGACGCAGCGCCGCGCCTTGTCGATGGAATCGCGGTACGGCGGCTTCTGTGGAAGCTGCAGAACACGAACTTAACGCTCTCAGATACATGGGAGAACAGAGGGCGACGGCAAGCGCAAGCGACGCGAATGCCGTTTTTGAGAGAGTGTCAGCAAGAATTCGTGAGAGGTAGACGACCTCAGGAGATTGTGAGGGAAAGCGCGGCCAGATGCGGCTGCGCGCCTTGGCAAAAGGTGACACCTGAGAAGCCAACGCCCATGCTACCCTGTAGCCAACCTGGTTCCTCCAGCACCAGACGAACGATTGCACCCATGTTCGAGACACTCCGACACCACAAGGACATAGTCCTTATGTCTAGAATCCAGGCGCGGCTAGTACCGCAAGGTATTGTCTTCAGCGAGAACCCTCCCCGATTACTCCTTTCCTCCAGCAAGACTGCAGCTCAACCTGAGCATACAGACCTGTGCTTTGCTCCTAAGAGTTTCCGCAGCAGCGAAAGTGACTCTCTTTCTGGTTACATGCAAGACACAGATTTCCGGTTGCAGCAAGCGCACAAAGATACTTCCATGTACCATGCTCCCACAGCACGTTCAGCCAGGAACATCGGGCACCGTTCCCGTCGACTGGACATCCATCTACGGAGCTTGTGCATATGGAACCTCAGGCCTGTCAGGCTTAACCAATGGTGTTGCATCATACCTACCTTGCCTATGGATCATTGAAATTCCGCCGAAGAGTAGGTGAGCCGATTGTTACAGTTTGAGGAGGTTGTAGTCGGAAGTGCTTACGCTCTGAGGCATTGTTCCGGGCTCTTGGACGACTTCGAACAGGCCAGGTTCCCGGGAAATGATAACGGCAAATATTAAGATTGACCGAGTAAATTTTCCGAGGTTGAAGTACGCGGGGAGACGAGCAACGCCAATGCACGCGACTAGAAGAGGTAAGCCCATACACTTCTCATTGGTGAGGTAATTTGATTTCTCCGTAGTGGTCCTACACATGTCAGGTGTCTGCGTTAGCACCACTTGCCACGAGGTGATTGCCACTACAGTAGAAACAAACGGATGATCATTCGGAATCTAGGGACGGATCGCGCTTGACGAAGCTCATAATATATGAAGGTCCACTAGAAATACCACCACCGTTTAAAGTCGAGTAACAATGCCATGGGGGATACCTGTTAGGAGGGCGCAATTCGGCAAGTACAAAAGGTCTTACGCTCCGCACGAAGAGATGGATTGCAGAACAGCAAGGAACTTTCGAAACCAAAGTCCAGCCGCCAAACACCCACCATGAAGGTCGTTTCTTTCATCCTTGGCGCTCTCGCCTCCGTTGGCTTCGCGCAACAAGCAACGCTCTGCAAGGACTACGAATACTTCTCCAGCAACGGCTACCAGCTCAACAACAACATCTGGGGCCGCAGCTTCGCCACCTCAGGCTCACAGTGCACCTACGTCGACAGCGTGTCGGCCACTGGCGCCAAATGGCACACCAAATGGACATGGGCTGGCGGAAAGGACAACGTCAAGTCCTACGTCTACTCCGGACGTCAGATCACTAAGAAGAAAGTGAACCAGTACACCAACCTGGAGACGGAGGCCTACTGGGTCTACGACACCAACAACCAGCGCAGCAACGTCGCATACGACCTGTTCACTGCTGCGGACATCAACCACGACACCTCCAGCGGTGACTACGAGCTCATGGTCTGGCTCGCCAGGTACGATGTCTGGCCCATTGGTACCTCGCAGGGTATGGTCACTGTTGCTGGCCGATCCTGGGAACTCTTCTACGGCCCCAACGGCTCCATGAAGGTCTACAGCTTCGTACCTCCTGTTGGCCAGCCCATCTACAACTTCAAGGCCGACCTGAAGGAGTTCTTCGCCTACCTCACCAACAACAAGGGCTACCCTTCTTCCAGCCAGAACCTCATTAGTACGTTTCTCAATGCCCATGTCCTACTAGACAGTGTTTGGGCTTATGCTAACTTTCATTTCAGCTTACCAATTTGGTACTGAGGCTTTCACCGGTGGACCTGCTACGTTCACCGTGAACCAGTGGTCTGCTAACGCTTGGTAAACCCTTGGTGGTGATGACCATGATAGTGGTGCTAGACACATGCTGTAAGCCGGAGGCCTGGAGTAGTTGCGTCTTTTTGGGACTGCAACCTTTTCTGTACATACTTTTACACTTCTGTATTCAGAACGTATATATGAAGAAACATTTACATTTGCAACAAAATTTCAACATTGAAAAGCGAAGACACCAGAAAACATCAGGATACGCAGCCGCTTGCCTTTACAAGAGCGAAACCAGACCTATGACACCAGCCACAACGCCCCAACCCAGACTTCCTATCGTAGTCTTGAGCGCATAGCCTGTGAATGGCTGCGGCGCACTGCCATTGCCATTCAAGCCTTGTCCTGCCACAGCGATTGTGCTCGCACTCTTCTCTGTCAACTGGCCATCGCCACCTCTCAACTGGCCTCCTCCACTGATACTCGATGGATCCCCTGTAGAACCTTGCACACACCCTGTCGTGCCGTTTCCAGAAAACATGCGGTCAGCCACACCCTTCCACACCTCCGTGACATCAGAGATCATCTTCCCCGTAAACCACATCCTGCAATCTGCGGCTTCGTACATGAACTCCAAGGGCGTACCACTGGCATCGTTCTGTCTTAGGTTATCTTTGAGATTGACGCCGCCGGCGATCTGTCCGCCATTGTATGCAGATCGCTTGAAGAGTTGGGTCGCGAAAGCGGTTTTGCCGAGATCCGTTGCGTCCCAGGCTTTTCGTTGCTCGGGTGAGCCGAGGAAATAGACGGATTGCATGCGGACTTGGATGTCGTCCCAGGCAAAGACCTGGGCGCCTTTGGTGCCACCTACACCTTGCATTGGGCCGGGTTGGGGTCGTCCTCCAACGGCGATCGTGCGTACTGCGCCTTGATTCTTGAGTAGTTCGGAGATGATAGCGCAGGTGGAGGAGCACATGCCATCGTGTAACATGACCATGTCTTGGGCTTGGAAGGGCTGCGGTGTGCTGGTTTCGTTGGCATTATCGTTGTAGCCAATTACTGAAAAGCCCCTGTAGGTTGTACTGACGCTGTCTGAGAAGTTGTACCGAAGCGTCGTGGTGAAAGAATCGTTGTTGATTTGCTCGGGACCGAAGAGTTGCTCCCACCCACTTATGGCTTTGTTACTGACATCTAGGATATGCTGGTAGTTGAATCCACTCGTGAGAGCAAAAATATCGGCTTGCGTGGTGGCGCGACCAAACACTTCCATGAAGGCGGTTTGATTTGACTGAACGAATGTTTTGTTGGCGAGGAAGTCTTGGGTTATCTTGCCAGCTAAGTTCAAAGCTTCGTTCGCACGGAAGCGTGTGCCTCCAAAAGGCTCTGCGACCGCCTGTGGGTATACTTGCTTGAAAGTGTCGTAACCCAGGATCGCATTGCCTCCACCATTGCCTCGCAAATCGAAAATCATCTTCGTTTTACCCGCTTTCCGCGACATCCTTATGAAATCTCGCATCGTATTTTGAAAGCTTTGAGCGTCAGGAGATTCGTAAGAGGGGATGCTGAGAATGGCGACATTCTATATCGGTTAGACAAACAAAAGCAAGAGTGCGTGCGGCCTACCTCGTATCCTGGGCCATCAAGGTAGTATCCTCCAACAGCAAGATTGCGGTTTATCAGCTCGGCTTTCGGGTATCCAATGTGTGAGGGGGTCGGTGTAGCCGTGGGAGGTGTAGTTCTTGTGGAATTACTGGTAGGAGAAGGAGCAGGAGCCGTAGCAGCCCGCTTCGGGCCAGTGCAGAACTTCTGGAAGAAAGCTTTACCGCTATCAACACCAGTAAAGTTCCCAATCACAACAGCGACGTTCATCTGGGACCAAGTAGTCCCATTTGCGAACTCCAGGGTTGTGTTGGGGCCTTGGTACTGGCCACTTCTGAAACTTCCAAGAAAGGTAGTACCGGATGCGAGCAGAGCCTGGGAAGGAAAAAGGGCGTTCCATCGTGTGTCAGCGTCGTGAAAGTCAGAACTAGCCGATACATTTGCGAGATAGTCCTGAGCGCCTATGCCGTTGATCACCTTGATGGACGATGGCTTGAAGGAAGAATCGGCATTGGCTTTAATGACATCCCTGTAAGCATATATATCTGGAATTTTAGTACCGTCTGAAGAGATAGAGACCAGTTCTGACCCAGGAGGTCTCTGAAATTGCATCGCCGAAGCAAGGATGTCAGGTTGATAAGCGAAGTGGTTGTCGTACGCCTTGGTGAAGGTATTGAGCATCTTCAACTGGAATTCGTACTCGTTCTTGAAGGTACCATCGGATACCTGCTTTTGCATATTGTTCAGCTCGCCCACGATGTCGAGGGGCTCTTCGGTGTAGCCTTTTGGAGGGTTCTTGAGGTATGCGATGTTCGATTGCCATTTGACCATGAGCTTGAGGTCGTCGATCAGTTTGACATTGCCTTCCATATCGAGAGGTACGGATTGTAGACATTGTACTCCTAATTCCGCAGGAACGATGGGTCGGGCTCCAGAGGGTAATGCTGCGATGGCCATACTGACAACTGCGCAAGGTTCCTGTCCAGAAGAAGCTGATGCCGGGCTCGAAGAGCTCAAGGCTTTTGTAGAACTTGCAGTGTCGGTACTATTTTCAGCCGCTGCCATCATCAAGTCCACGTCTGCCTGTGTCATGACCTCGTTCATGTCGAGATCTGGGTACTCAGGAACTCCATACATCCATGGGTGTGGATTTGCGGTAGCCAGGCCGCAAAGAGCGCCGAGGAGTGCAATAGAGGAACGCATCCTGATACGAGAAAGACAGTCGAAAGGTGGATTGTAGGCGCCTGGCCCTACGCTTAGGTAGCTCCGAAACTTCGCCGTTGATAAAACTAGGTATTATAAAGAGCGATCCAGCGCTGGTAAGATAGTCAAACTAGGAACAAGAAACGAAAGCAGGAAGAACGAGGCCTCGACGGCGAGACCGACGAAAGGAGGAAGGAGATCGCGTATGGCAGCCATGTCTAGATGCACATATATGAGGCACATGGTGCATTTGATATCGTACGGCAATGCTAAGGAAGTTTGGCCTAGGGCGTAGCAGCATTGCCGCGTTATCGAAACGTCTCGGTCTTACCAAGCAGTATGGTCGGGGAAATCGAAACGATGCCTTTTACCATGCCTGGCATAATTATAACACCAGCACACCAGAGCGAAGTCCTGGAACATGGCGAACTTAGATGCTTATTACTGAAGCGCTGTGTTAATTCCAGTGGCCATTGTTCTGGCATGAAAGATGCACGACTTCGTTACACAGAGTATACGGCGATGTGGTTGAGGCGGACGGGCCAGGCGTGCGGTACGCGAAACTGACACGAAACATCAACGTGCTGATGTGCTAAGCCTGACTCAGCCTAGCCTGAACATGCAATGTCTCGAACGTTGTCATGCGAACTCCGTTGCGAACACCCTGAATTAGTCACATGTACCTCGGGCAGACATCCTTGTGGCCATTTAGATAGCAATGGCGGTCAAGCCATGTTTCCAGGTATTGCGTGTTGTGTGTGACTATCCTGCGCCACCAGATAAAACATAGATCTGAGGCTCTAGGCTGCCTCCACATCTTCGTGATACTGGACCTCCCGATCCCATGCTTCAACTTTCGTGTACGGGCTTCTTAGCCAATCATTCAACTCATGGAGAAACAGTTTACTGTTCTCTCGGCCTAAGTGTTCCGCCAACAAGTTCTCTGCGTGTCCATTACTGGCCTTGATGTCGACCATTTTCAAGATGGAAACGATGTACGATAACAGAAATTCAGCGTTGCTGCTCGTCGTTGCCGCAACAGAGGACGATTCCGCCGGATCAGCGTGTAGGAAGGTGAAGACGCGGAGTTCGCGACGAATCCAAGTACGTGCTTTTGACTGCATCTCAGGAGAGTTTGCAATTACTTGGGGAGAAATGTCGCGATATCCCGAGAAGCGATTACTGCCGATGTGTAGCGAGTATAGCTGTCTTTGGTACACCTCTCTGCGTTTGCGCAGCGCTACATCCTCGATGGGTGGTGAATATGGACGACGTGGACCACGAGGTCTACTGGGAAGTCCATAGGGTGCGAAGAGGGAGCCAGGACGGTCGGTTCGGCTATAGTGTGCGCTTGAGTCGTTGGGTGGCTGGCTGTGAGGAACAGCATAGCTTTTGTAGTCGGTCGGAGAGCGCCAGTCGTACTGCACGGCGACGACTCGTGCTTTACCTGCGTCTATCATCAGAAACGTTCTATGGTATCAAAGGGGACAACTTACATAGCGGGCAAGTCGACCGTTGCTGCAACCAGGACACCAGACATACAAAGTCAAATGTGTAGTGGTTGCATGGGGAGGTGATGGCCCTCTCTGTTACCGAGGAGAGACATATTACGCACGTGTCGTGTGAGTCGCCTTGGGTCGATCCGGACGTGCTTCCTGGCATGCGCTTTCTTGTGTCGTGAGGGTGGAAGAATACCAAGTGGCTTGGATGATGAGCTCATGGCGTCCGAAGTGAGCTTGGGCCAGCCAAAAGTGTCGCGACTCGACGCAAACGCAGCCTGTTCGTTCAACATTCACCCTTCCACTCACTGCACGTGTCTGAAGCTGTGCAATCCACTGCGGACCTCCTAGCGCCCACTGCTGCGTAGTTTCCGCGCTGAATGCTCCTCTCCGCCACCCGACGCATCACATCGCACTCGATTCGACGCTTAGTACCAGACATGCTAGCAACCTCAACCAGGCCGGCCGTCGCAGGGCCAAACGGAAAAGCGACTTACCACACTGTGACTGCGCTCAAAAGATGGTCATGCGACGACAAGGAGCTACCTGCCGTATCCGACGTCAAGGCAATTCACATCTACGACTTCGACAACACCTGTGGGTCCATCGCGACTTCCACTACCTTCGAGGCTGACTTTTTGTAGTATTCGCAAGCCCTCTACCCAACAAGCAGTTATGGAACAGCGCGACGATAGGTCAGCTGGGCTCGCCCGACATGTTCCTCAACGGAGGCTGGTGGCACGACTCGAGCATCCTAGCAGCGACCGGCGAAGGCATTGAGAAGGAGGAACCGCGCGCATGGCAAGGCTGGTGGAACGAACAGATTGTCGAGCTCGTCGAGTCTTCCATGGCCCAGAAAGATGCGCTCAGTGTGCTTCTAACTGGCAGAGGAGAATCCGACTTTGCCGACCTCGTCAAGCGCATGGTTCGCAGCAAGCGATTAGACTTCGACATGGTCTGCCTGAAGCCCGCGATAGGACCTGCAGGCCAAAAGTTCAGGAACACCATGGAATTCAAGCAAGAGCTGCTCAAGGACATCGTCTATACATACAAGGACGCGGAGAAGCTGAATATATACGAGGACCGCGTGAAGCATACCAAGGGCTTCCGCGACTTCTTCTTCCAGTTCAACGAGGATCTGCTCAGGGCGCAAAACCAGGCGTCGCGCCGACCCATCACTACTGAAGTCATACAGGTTCCAGAGAATGCCACACAACTCGATCCCGTCGCCGAAATAGCCGAAATACAGAAGCTGATCAACGCGCACAACATACAAGTCAAGTCCGGCAGCGCCCCGCCTGGCACGCCGCCTTATCAGATCAAAAAGACCGTCTTCTACACCGGCTACATGATTCCCTCCGACGTGACCGAGAAGTTGACCTCACTCGTCTCCTTGCCTCAGGGCGCTCCGAGAGACGACATTCGATATCTCGCGAACAGCATACTCATCACACCGAAACCGTGCCCGAAGAGCATACTGGACAAGGTTGGCGGTATAGGTGCCAGGGTCAGGTGGAAGGTGACAGCCATCTCCTGCTTTGAGAACAAGCTGTGGGCCGCGAGAGTGGAAGCTGTACCTAAAGGGACAAGGTTCTACAGTGAGAACCCTGTACCGACGGTAGTCCTCGCTATTCGCAAGAATGGCCGGCCAGCAGATGCTGCGCGTATCGTGAACTGGCATCCCGTACCCCAGGATCAAGCATTCGAGTTTGACAGTGTTGTAGGAGAGAAGCAGATGTTGCGTATCGAGGAAGAGACAGCCAACGAGAGCGAATATGAGAGTTACTTTCCGAACAAAGCTCATCGCAAGGAGGACCAGAATGGTCGCAACGACAATTACCGGCCAAACCACGGCCGAGGAGGCAGGGACAGAGATGACCGGCCAGGCGGTTACCGTGGTGGCAACCGAGATCGCGGTCGTGGTAACAATAGAAACAACAACTACGGATCAAGAGGAGGTGCTCGCGGCGGCTACCGTGGAGATCGTGGTGGTGGAGGCGGCGGCGGCGGCGGCGGCGGCGGTGGTCGGGGACGTGGCCGTGGTGGAGGTGGACAGTATCGAAGTTTGGATGATGTCGACAACGGCTATGGAAACCGAAGCCATGACAACAACCCAGATGCTTTCTACTAAATCCAGGCTGTCGGACATCCGTCTCTCGGATCTGTTGAAGGTATCAGACTCACCAACCGAACAGAGCATCAAAATCCAACTCGACAGGTTTAGATTTCGCGGGCGTTGCGGGTGGCGCTACCTGACACTTTGTTGTTAAGCTGAACTTCATACCATATGAACCGTAGTATGTTTTGTGAATAAGATACCCAATTTCTTCGCAGACAGACGTGGCACATACAACTTTCCTTCGCCATAGACGTTGCCTATTGGTAATATCTCCTTCTTGGTCTTTTCCGATTTCATCGAGAGTCTTTACGCTCTTTATCTGAGTTTTACAAAATGAGGAGGTGTCTGGAGAAGCGGCTCCTGCGCAGCCGGAATTGGGTCGAAGCATCGCAAAAGAGGCCGACCCTCACGCCGACAGTATTGTCTCAAATCAGGATATGCTCGGCAATGCACAACTATGGTGCTTTCGTTTCTCATCTGACCCTCTCGACGAATTTTCTTTGGATTCACTATATACAAAGCAGAACATATCGCCTGCAGGGGATTTATATCTACTTCTATACGGCCTCTCGAACAATCGGCACTCGAAACAATGATAGGCGCAATCAATTCAAGAAACAATCATGGTCCATACACTTTCCATATCGCCAGGGCACGAGCTTCCGAAATGGCCGAGGGCGAGGCTGGCAATCGGCGATGACATTCCATCAACACCTACCCCCAGGAACATTAGGCCAGTCAGCCCACCGCCAACACGACACGCCACACTTTTTTCAACTGCCTCCCAGCACACATCAAGCCTAGTCTTCCTGTAACCACTCTCAGTCCGGTTTAAACGGTGACCTGGGTGGGACGTAACGCCCGAAGGAGATGAATCGGCGATCGCATGCTGGGCTCCTAGGGTAAATCTTGATTGCGGGTTACTACAACATTCCTCAGCTGCACGAGCTTAGTAAGGCGGGGTGATTGCAGATTTTGAGGTGTATAAGTGTGTGAAGGAACTATGGATTCAGGGTCGTTGTTGGACCCTGATCCTCCCTGCATTGCTGCTGGTGTGGTGTCTATCGTGGACTTCCTGTTTGGGCAATACCAGTGACTTCCTGGGATTTCACGGCCAACGGTAGCAAGAGCTGTCAGTGATCTTCGCTCATTCACCTTGAAAGGTCAGACCAGCAAATTGTTGATCTGTTCATCAAACGTCACTGACGGTCAAGCTTTCACAGCATCAAGCGAGCCGGATACGAAGACTACCCATCACTCCTACCGAGCGCATCACCGTCGCCAAACGAATTGGCACATGGACTCGTCTAGAGAGCTCACAGTCTGACTCAACATACATTCAAGTGCACTAGCACTTTCCGCCAGCTCGACGCTGCCACACAACTCTTTCAATCTACAAAATGTCAGTTCAGAACCACTGCAACATCATACGAGTCTGCCAACCACCACATATCAGAGCAGATTGACGCCAGCTTACTCTGGCTCTCTCCAACTTCAGCACGAATATCCGCATCCAACCGCCACCAAAACGCAATGTGTACAAAAGTCATCCTCAAGCACAGTACATGTCAACACGAGTTCTGGGTCAAGCGCAACTGTACACGTCATCCAGAGTGTACCTTCTTTACACAAGTCTATCGGGAAAGAGGAGGTGAGTGTTGGGAGTGTGATCCGGGGCAGGCACCGCCTGAGGCGCTTTTCCCGCGCGAGGTGAGCTGGCGGAGAGTCAAGAAGAAGGTTAGAGAAGGAGGTCCTGTTAGTGTTTGAAGTGTTGTGTTGTCGCTTCCAGAATCTTACAATGATTAATGTCAATCCAATGCGAGCCCATAGTCATGCATGAAGTATGAACGTCCTGTCACATGTATCGCGATCACGCATGTGCATATATTGAAGAAGAAAGTACTCTGTATCTTCGACTACAACTCTAATCTCTTACAAATCTCCTCATACCTACATACCTGTCCAAGCCTACAAGTACGTCGGCCAAACTCACCACTGACACCCCGCGAACCAATCAACATACACATACATACCAGCCGCCACCAATATGTGCAAGTTCTTTATCACCACTTACGCATGCGGGCACCATAGCATGACAGTCCATCCAGTTGCTGCGTGTGACCCGAACGAGAGGGGCGGGACCTGCATTAACGCAGAGTTTCACGACATACACATGGACGAGGGATGCACTACGAATCTTTGCCCAGGGTGGCAGCCGAGAACTGAAGACAAGGTGTAGATTGTTGAGGGGTATGATAGAGCGGATCAGGGTGCAGAGCGGATCAAGTCGGAGCATCCCAACGACATAAACAGTGCGGACTGCTGTGGTAGCAATCGAACTTTGTATATTCGCTCATACATCGGAGGAAAACACCATATCAAAGATGAGCAGGAAGTCGATGTAAAACACAGCAAAGAGAGTCACACATAATCACAAGCATCTGGTCTGATGAACATTTTTTCCCCCCCAATCCACCCATATACCGGTTGTATTCATTGCGTTTAGTTTAGTTCTAATCTATGATAGTCCTACAAAGCAAAACATGACGCCATACCAATGCCGCGCCGTAAAAATGCCAGACCGCTAAAAGGAGCAAACGATAGACAGGAACAACAATGACGCAATGACGTGAGAGAGCATTACGCGGATGCAAAAGCATGAGAGCAAAAGCAATGAAGCCACGCGATGCGATGCAAGGATACAGTACCCCAGACAGAGAAATAAGAAACACAAACTAGTCATCACTGTCCCTTGCGCGCCCAGCCTGGCTGCCCTCAAAGTTCCTCATCTTGGTCGCGTGGTTATGGTTGATCATGCTGCGAATAGGGTTTTTGCGTGCGGCACTGACCATGCTGGGTGTGGGGCCGCCTCTGGAGGCGTGTACAGCGCCAGTTCCATACTGGACTTCATCGAATAGGTTGTCGTACTGGCCTTGGGTCAGGCTATCCTTTCTTGATGACTTGGAGGGCTTAACGGGGCGGACAGTAGATACCTCACTTGGCTCCGAGATGATGGAAGGTTTGGATTTGGAAGAACGGGAGGAACGGTGAGGGCGCGAAGAGTCCTCGTCGTCGGCGGAGTCGGCAGATGTCTTGCGGGAACGGTGCGAACGGTGAGAGCGTTTTGATGACTTGCTCATGATAGACTCGTTGTCATCGTCGTGCTTCTTACTGCGGGAAGACTCTTTCTCATCGTCATGCTTCTTGCTTCGGGAAGATTCTTTCTCATCGTCATTCTTCTTGCTTCGCGAAGACTCTTTCTCGTCGCTGTGCTTCTTCCTGCGATGGCTCACAGAGGTTTCGGCGTCATCATCCTTCTTAGACTTGTCGCTCCGGTGGGAACGGTGTCTGCGTCGTGGTGCGTCGCCGATCTGGGAGATGCTGTCGCTGGGAACAACAGTGTCAAGATCATCCTCACTTAGCTCTTCAATGTCAAGGTCGTCGATGAAGTCGTCGTCATCTTCGTGCTTCTTTTTGTCGCGGCTAAAGATGCTGCTGACGATCGACGCCGCCTTGGACGCAGCTTTAGTGGGGGCTGCAGACGGAGCCTTGGATGCAGGGGCTGGTGGAGAAGGCGACGAGCCACGCTCCTTCCGACTGCTACTACCGTGTTCCTTGTGCGAGGAGTGTTTTGAAGATGAGGTATGAGAGGACCTGGCCTTGGACCTACCCGAGCTACTTTTTTCATCTTCGCGGTCTGCTACGAAGGATGAGATGAATGAGCTAGGCGCAGCACTGTGAGCTACGCTTTGCGCCTTCGAGACGACACTCTGAGGCTTGGACGATGGTCGCGGTGGCTTTGCAGTCGTTGCGGCACTTTCGGGCTTGGCTGTCGAGACGGTACTCCTAGCCCTCTCGATCATCAACAACTCAGGGCTAGTATTTGAGCGGTGAGCAGGTGTGAGCCTTGATGGAGTCTGTGACGGGGCAACAGAGTATGCAGGAGCATATTCGATGGCGAGAGGCTCCGCAGCCCTTGAGCGAGGACGCTCAAATTGAGACGGTGAGTAGTAGCTAGCCGGCGCAGCCTCGATTTGTCGCGGCACGGAAGTCCTAGGGATCTGAGAAGCTCGCGAATAGGAAGATCGCGCGTCGTCTTCAATGCGGTGTACTGGCTCAGGTGTAGGCGGTGCAATGGCCTGGACAGGTGGCTGCGCGGGTTGTGGGGCCTGCTGGGGTGTCGGGGGTTGGGATGAGGCCTGAGCGAAGAAGCCAGCCGCAGTGTTGACCGCGTTTTTGGCGTCCATGAAGGCGCTGAAGTCCGCCTCTTTCTTCGCACTATCTCGCTCGCTCCGCATGAATGCATATGTGACGGCTGCACCTGCAGCAGCTCCAAGTAATGTTCCGAGAATGTGCGTGGCCGCCCCACTGCCGGCATCTGATTTTGTCGTCGCTTCGGGAACAGGAGCGACTGTGGGCGCAGAGGCGCTTCTGGGTACAGGGCTTGGTGCCTTTGGAGCAGCTGATTCGGTTGTCGGTGCGACTGGAATTGCGCCAGTTCTCGAAGCACACGTGTGAGCGCTGAAGATACTGGGGCTCTCACGGAAGCTCTGCGAAACTGTCCTCTGCCATGTAATGACTCTGCTGTGCTCGATGATGGTCCCGTCATGTCTCATGTCAGGTCCATTTCGGTAGACAACCTCGATGCTGTTGCCGTCAAAGTCGATTACTGCGGCATTGAAGTGGCCATCTTCTGCGCAACGAGCACCCGGGGCCCCGTTAGGACGACCACCAGCGGTCAATGCAGCGGTGTAGAAATTCCGGACTGCGGTTGTGCTAGGTGCGGTGAATGCAATGTGTGCAGCGCCGGCTTTTACGCTGCTCAGCTGTCAGTTGCGGTGTGCCTGGTGATCATTCGTGGTACTGACCCAGGCGTTTCTTGGCAGAGAAAGAAATCGGAATCATTTATTCCAAGGCCGATTTGGTTGCCATATTGGCCGATGTAGCGGTAGCCCAGTGGCTGGAGCGCTGAGAGAAAGAACGATGTCGAAGTTGGAAGATGCGATACCGTGAGGCCGATGTGGGAGACGGGCATTGCTGAACAGCGGTGAAGAACAAGAACGACAGGACGCGGCTAGAACAATCGCCAAACGAAGAATTGAGAAGGGAACGAGGCGGATATATGCACACAGTGAGGTGTGATCGAGTTGGAGCGGTTGGAGATGTATGGTGTGAGTAGGGGGGGGAAGTATCGGTACGACCTCGAGGTTTATATCATAACCCCGTCCAGGTGCAGCGTCTCGATGCATCGTGAACCGAGTAGCAGGGCGTTCCATACCGTTGCGGGACAGACCCTACTAGCACGCCCCACCGCTGCAGTTAGCTATCAAGGAGGTCGCTGTCAACATGTTGTGATGCTGCCACATGTCCTGCGTCTGCAGCTAACAAATTTGTTAATGTAAGCGAGGTGTCGGTGTATGACATTGGTCCTCAGCGTCGGCCCGCAGCCGCGAGAGGTTTAAGTCGTCGCACGCCTCACATTGCCCACTACGCTACATTGGATACGGAATCGTAGCATTTTGGTCGCTTGTCGCGTGCAACAGAGTATTTGCGGTCTGGACGCGCCACTTGTCGTCGCAACGCTCGATTGGACATGGTGTGACGTCGATGATGGGGCATCGTTCTCACAAGAACCAAGGACCAAGATGACGCTGTAGTGAGGCTACGATTGCAGGCATCGTCGTAGATTCTTGGAGTTGTTCCAAATGTCGGTAGGACTTGCCATGCTGTTGCTTTTTCTATGTTTACGCGAGATCATCATGGGAGATCGGCGATGCGGCTCCATGGATAGATGCTCTACCCGTTTCCCTCCCGCCACACGCGCAAAATGCGATGAGCCCCCAGGATACATTCTAACCTTGTAAGGCATAGAGCGAGTGAATTACAAGGTGTATGCCTGAAAGAGGGGTTCAAGGGATCGTACTGTGAAGATGACGTGAAGTATAGTTTTTCATTCGCCGGACATGTCATTCCTGACATAAAGATCTTCCTGCTCGTGAATCCTAGAGTGGATGGAGAGCCGCGATATCCTACAAGCTAACTACTGACAAACATATTTCGAGGTCGAATGACAGGTCATGACGAGACCCAGTGGTATGATGCCAAACACAGCGCGCATACAGGCTAGCGGCTGTGTCGATGGAACAAGGTGAAAGAAAAACAGGTGCGGGGTAGGTTGAGCTGCCCCGCGATCTTCAAAAGAAGATTGATTGTTGTGCGTTGAGCCAGAGTAGTTGTTTTGTTGTAAAAAAACCTCAAGCAGACGCCCAAAATCAGATGCAGTAACGCTCAGGCTGTTGATGTTGCGATCTAAGCCATGAGCGTGTCCTGCAGCCTAAAAGTTCCCGTTATCTTCCGTTTATGCGGTCCGTGATCCGACTCGTCCGCGGTGAGTCAGTTGTTGCTTGTGGGCTAGTTGGCGTGTCCAATATAGATAGGTCCAGCGCTTGATCGTCGGCTGAACTAGAAGATGTTCCAAACGTCTTCGGCAGCATGGCAGAACTTACTGCATGCAACGCTGGCACTGAGGTTAAACTGGCTAATAGCGATGCTGTCGTCCTTGATGTGATCGGCAAAGTCGTCGTTGCCCTTGGCCATAGCACCTACGAAGACTGCGATACTCTCGCCCTTGTTGAGATCGCCAATGTAATCGCTGACACGTACGACCTCGGAGTCGAAGCTGAGCGTGACCTTGCGGCAGTTGGGAGGAAGGTGATCGGTGATGGGGTTCTTGATGACTTCGATGAGCTTTTCTTGCGAAGACGTTGACCGGATCTGGTGTCTGTGCAGGAGTTGGACCATGAGTCCAGCGAAGCGCTTGAAGGTACGAGGAATGCGCACTGTAGGGCTGACCCTGATGAGCACGTTCTTGGAGGTGTGGATGTAGATTTGGAGCTTGCCCGCCTTGTTGATTGGCGAGTCGAGTAATGTGAGCAGACACTGTGGCGCCACGTTAGCTGAGGGACATGGCTAACCTCCTCTTGTACGCACTTGGTGGGTGATGTCGGGCCTGGCTTCGCTTATGTCGCGCCCCATCTTGCGCATTACGCCAATATGGTCGTCACTGTTGAGCAGGTTGTACTTGTCCTCGCGCGCACCAGGGCCGCGGCCAGTGCCATGCGACGCCTTGTACGTCTCCAGCGTCGCATTGCACAGAACGACGATCAGGCGCTGTGTGTCTTTGTCGTTGGTCGGGATGGGGGCATGCTGCTCGGCGACTAGCTTGGGCAGCTCTGGCGGAGGCATTGATTGCGTTCCTGTGCGCAGTAGCGTAGCGTCAGCGTTGTCCGTGGTTAATATCGAAGAAGCAACCGACAACATACTTGCGCGCTTCTTGCCCCGCTCGGCGGAGTCTCGGGAGACGGGTCGTTCGGTGGGCGAGTTGGAGTCTTCGGGTTTAAGGAGGGGAGCCATTTTGACGTGTGAATATGCAAACGCTGCGGAAGGAGCTTGTGTACGTCTGTGTGACCTCTGGCGCAAGGAGATTGGTTCAGGGTGTGGAAAGTGAGAATGATGTGTCGCTTCTCCAGGTACCTAGGGTCAGCAGCTGCGAATGCACTTACACAACAACTTTGATGGAGTATTCTGGTCAAAGGGGAAAAGGGTGGATATGCAGTAAGCTCGAGAAATCGTGGGAACCATGCGTCCTATTTGTGCGAACTGTCGGTGAAAAGAGCGTTTTTCCTGCGTCCAATCACAGCCGAGCGGGCGGCGTGATTACGTGAGACCACCAGCAATCAGACGAGTTGGTTCTCACCACCAACGAGCCATCGCAACACCGCACAGACTACAACAACGAGATGTCATGGCGCGCTGTTGGTAGTACGCAGCAGTCAGCTTACTGAGTTATTCGGTAGTTGCGACGTGGTCGGCCATTGTGGCCACCCTGCTTGACTCGCGGTCACTTCTATCGTGGGTGGATACCTAGGTACCTATGCTTCGGGACATTCGGGGGAATACGGTGTACAGCCAGTAAAGCGAGGACCGACAACGCAGGAGTAACCGAGGATGCGCACCCAACCCGGCATCAGTTGCAACTTACATCAAAACGCCCTGCAGGGCTCCATGCCCGCGCAAGCTCCTGGGCCGGGCGCCGGAACCTCTGCAACGAAAGCGTCTCACCATGGTCTCTTGGCCCGCCTTGCATTTGAAACAATCACCATATCATACAGTCGCCTTACGTCCAACATGGCACTACACGCCGTGTGTATGGCCTTTTCTGTAAACATCATGCGATCTGCCAAGGATACTAAGAGGTCAGGTCATGCGCGAAACGAGTCTGGTTTGGCCGTCGCGCTGCCGCTTGAGCGGCTCTGCGGTGGAGATACATGAACGCTAAGTGCCGCATTTTGCGCATTTCTGTAGCTGCCATTGAACATCGCGTTTCCCTTCCTTACTTCGATTCTTCAACGTCGCTGGCGATATCTTCATCCATTCGTTTTAGTGGCAGCCGGCTGTCTGAACCCTGATCGTCATCGCAAGCTCGTCCTCCCTTCGACAAAAGGAATACAATCGCAAGGACCTCCCTAAGCCCAGCAAACGCAACCAACATATACAACATGGCTTTCGAATGGCTTGCACCAATCCTTACCCCCGCGGCCCTGCGCTCCGTACAAAACGACGGTCGGCCAGTCATTACGCTCTTCCTCGTCATCTTCGGCCTATCAGTCTTCGGTACCCTGATATGGTACGTCCACTTCGTCACATCTAAGATGTATCCGAAAAAGAAGGATCCGAACGCAAAGAAGGGCCCATTGCTCGGCTTCATCAAGCGGTGATTCAGGAAGGAGAGCGGAAGAGGGGTGCTGGGCCAGACGTAAGGCAGGCGAGATTACGGCCATCTACAACTCTACAGCTGTTGGGATAATGAGTGCGACGCCCATAATGTATCGACAAGCGGAATCTCTATCGAGCCTAGATCAACATCCTTGGCCTACACCAACCTCTCTTCAATCGGACACCTGGGCCCGGACCTTGTTGGAACATTGGAGCGCCGATCGAGCTATTCTCCTCGTCGAAGAGGCTGGAGACATGATACCTACGAGTACATGGTGTTCTCGTCTTGGAGTCAACGACTCGCCATACTTTCATATTCAATACATAATTCAACCCCTTTACATAACCTATCTTATCGTACGCAAAAGATCAACATGCTTCCGCGGTAACCATGTAACTCTTCTCAAATGCTTACTGTAGGCTGCACAATCTCCTCCGAAGCTTGTCGGCACTCGTGAGATTCATCGGTAGTAACGAGCCGATGACGTATGAACTTACCCACTCTGCCTGCGATAACGCAGCGATTTCAAGTGCAGTCCGCCACATCATCATGTCCACTCATCATCTCCTATGTCACTAGATATGTGGGTGCATTGAAGTGCTATAAGATCCGATTGAAAGCTCCCACTTTAGCTTCCTCTACAGAACCCATCTTGAACGATTGCCATCATGTCTGCTCCGTCAAACCCAACAACATTTCCTCTACAGGGTAAGGTTGCCATTGTCACAGGCGCTTCGCGAGGGATTGGGGCTGGCTTGGCGTTAGAGCTGGCGCGAAGGGGAGCAAAGGTCAGTCCAGCGACTTCGAACCAAGTCAATTAAGACACTCATGTGTGAAGTAGGTCACTCTCGTCTACACGTCGCCAAAGAGCGGGAAGCTAGCAGAAGAGGTTGCATCGAAGATCGAATCACTTGGCAATGGTAGCGCATCGAGAGTTGTTCAGGCGGACCTCAGACAACTCGATGCGCCTGAAAAGATTGTGTCTGCGACTAGGGAAGCGTTCGGTGACAAGATCGACATCTTGATCAACAACGCTGGTGTTTTGATGAACAGATCCATCACGGAAACAACAGCAGAAGACTACGCCGCCATATTTGACGTCAATGTTCGCGCGCCTCTTCTGCTGACTGGGGCGGTTGTTCCACATCTACGAGCACCAGGTCGCATCATAAACATGTCGTCCATAGGCGCCCGACTAGGTTTTGGGAACCTAACTCTCTACACCGCATCCAAGGCAGCCATAGAAGGCGTGACTCGGAGTCTGGCACAAGAGCTAGGCGCTGCAGGACACACCGTCAACGCGGTTGCGCCTGGCCCCACCGAATCAGAGATGCTGGACGATGTACCAAAGGATATCGTAGAGGCCCAGTTGAAGCAGACTGCTGTGGAGAACAGAGTAGGGACTGTGGACGATATCGCAAGAATAGTGGCCTGGCTCTGTGGCGACGACGCGAAATGGGTTTCGGGTCAGGCGATATCCGCATCTGGTGGTTTCCTGAAGCTTTGAGTGGATTCTGTCATTGTTTTAGCAGCAAAGCTTCTCGTTTGATATGGAAGCTTCAAGTGGAGCTCGGTCACGGTGTTTGGGTTCCAAGACCGGAGATGTTTGGACGGGAATAGATCGGATTTAGTAGCTACGCATCGTTCAAACATGCAGCGTGCAGAATATGGCCGACCGGATACGATGTCCGATTGAAAGTCGATGACGCCACAGCCGTTGGATCGTCGACATGTGAATACCTATGCGTGTATGCAGAGAACACGTCGCGTTGGAGCAGTCGAATGAAACTGCGATCATGAGACTGGATGTGATCAGTCGTGGAACCCATCCCAAGCTTCAGCCAAGGCGTGCGAACATCAAGCGCATCCGCCCCTTACAGCTGTCACTTTCAGCCATGCCGCGAGATTATCGTGTACCATCGAAGCTTGTACCCAGGTCCACATGGGAAGGCGGTCGAAAGTCGGAGCATGGCGATGGAGTCAAGGCCAGCATCGGCAGTTGAGGCTCAACCCACCGACTACCTAGGCAGGGGCGAGGTGCCCAGGGAGGCGCCCCATTCTAACGCACTAGGTTTTAGCCTCCCACGTCCCAAACACCTCTCAAACGCCTCGCTCTGCCATTTCGCATGCCGAAGACTAAAGCGCATGGCCATTCATGTTTCATGACTCCATCTTGGTATGCGTCTAGCCCTAGCCACGCCATTTCGCGTCCCTAATTGGTCATGATCCCGTTGCGATACGCGCTCGTAGACGGCGGAGCTTGCTGTGTCGCAGCTCGCAGTGCAAGGCCATGGAAGATGGTTCGACTTCTGCTACCGTTTCGCTCTTTGGGCCCTGGATTGCTCATCCTCCAAGCCATCTGACGAACTGATACCCTTGATCCACTTCGCTAACGGCAGAGCGGACCTGACTTGTCCTACCCCCCCGTCGTAGCCGCTTTTCTCTCTGTCCGCCGTCTTGCAACGTTGGCTTATAGGCTTTTGTTTCCCCTACTCACCCCAAGACTCGACCGATTTCATGCCGGTGCCTCTTTAGCCGGGTGACTGAACGCCTCTTCCTGTACCTTTTCTCTTCTTTTGTGCGGGCACTTTTAGTAAGTCATTTGTACCATGGCGTCGTCGTCGCTGGTGGCTTTGGTCTAACCTTTGTACAGATTACTTAGACACTCTTTGAACTCATTGCTACACTTCGGCCACATTCAGCAGGTCTGAAGATCATCGGCATCCACAACACGCACTCAATCGCTGCTACGTTCGCTTCTTCTGTCAACTATGTCGTACACCACCAGTCTCACAGGTCGCGAGCGGTCACGATGGCCGCCGCTGACGCGCATGCTCATGTCTGGAGAGATGTCGGACCAAAAGGCGCGAGAATTGACCCGCAAAGAGAAATTCGATGTGTGGATGGTCAATGAGGGTTACCGAAGATTGTACGTTGCACTACACCGTATGTGAAGAGCCTCAACTAATGTGACTAGTTTTGTTTTCACATTTGCGATATTGCACGTCATGGTCTTCGTCTTTGGTATGATGAATTATGGGCTAAAGGTATGAATGAGTAGCTCAGATCACGACGAATACCGCTCACACGTCCTAGGACAACTCCATTGGTTCAAGACAAACCTTTGGCCTGACCTTCCCCATTGCTCGTTCAGCCGCTCTCGTATTGCACGTCGACGTTGCCTTCATCCTCTTCCCGGTTTGCAGGAACTTAATCTCCATGGCTCGGCGTACGCCGTTGAACGATGTTATTCCTTTCGACAAGAACATCACCTTCCACAAGCTGGTCGCCTGGTCTATCGTCTTCTTCTCGTGGGTCCACACTATCGCCCATTGGAACAACCTTGCCAAGTTTTCGGCGTCCAACAACCTAGGATTCATGGGCTTCATTCTCGCCAACCTTGCAACTGGACCCGGATGGAGCGGTTACGTTATGCTGACTGCGCTCATGGCCATCGCGGTCACGGCTGCAGAGAAGGCTCGTCGCGCGAACTTCGAACGTTTCTGGTACATGCACCATCTGTTCATCGTCTTCTTCATCTTCTGGTCCATCCATGGAGCCTTCTGCATGATCCAGCCCGACTTTGCGCCCTTCTGCGACGGTATCGGTGTCTTCTGGGAGTACTGGATGTACGGTGGATTTGCGTACCTCGCCGAGCGCATCGCCCGTGAAGTACGAGGACGACACAAGACGTACATCTCCAAGGTCATCCAGCATCCCAGTAACGTTTGCGAAGTTCAGATCAAGAAGGAGCACACCAAGACCCGCGCTGGACAGTACATCTTCTTGTGCTGCCCTGAGATCTCCATCTGGCAATACCATCCCTTCACGCTTACCAGCGCACCTGAAGAAGACTACATCTCTGTCCACATTCGTATGGTCGGTAACTTTACCAAGGCCTTTGGTCAGGCGCTTGGCTGCAACACAGACAAGAAGCCAGCTGGCGAGAAAGGCGAGAAGGGTGGATCCAGCGAGGAGATCGCCCTACGTCAAATCCTTCCCCGAGTCTACATTGACGGTCCTTTCGGTTCGGCCTCTGAGGATGTGTTCAAGTTCGAAGTCGCCGTCCTCTGCGGTGCCGGTATCGGTGTCACTCCTTTCGCGTCCATTCTTAAGAGTATCTGGTACCGCATGAACTACCCTCAAGGATCCCGTACGAGACTGAGGAAGGTCTACTTCTTCTGGATTTGCAGAGACTTCGGATCCTTCGAATGGTTCAGATCGTTGCTGCTGGCTATCGAGGCGCAAGATATCGATGATCACATCGAGATCCACACCGTAAGTTTTATGCTCATCGCTGGCTCTTAACGGTCTACTAACCGTCTTCACAGTACCTCACAGCAAAGATCAAGGCAGACGACGCGACAAACATCATGATCAACGATGCAAACGCAGAGCAAGACGCCATCACCGGTCTCCGCGCACCCACAAACTTTGGTCGCCCCAACTGGGACATGATCTTCAAGTCCATTCGCAAGATTCACTCTCCCGCCGAAGCCGGTGTCTTCTTCTGTGGACCCAAGGGTCTTGGTTCCACGCTCCACGTCAAGTGCAACATGTATTCTGAGCCAGGCTTCAGTTACGTGTGGGGTAAAGAGAACTTCTAGACGCAGTCGGGAGGATTATAAAAAAGGAAGGCGGAGAAAAAGATGAGAAGTATACCATTTGCTATATTGAGCGAATTGTCACTTATTACATGGTTGTATATAATTCGCTCCTCTTTTTGGTTGTTGTTAATCTTGAAAGCTGCAAGCGGCTAAAGACACATGTTCAACGTCTACGATATCCCATAGAATTCTTAATGATGCAATTCGAATACCAAATGTCAGCATCCACAACGTCCCATGCCAATCTACCTGTCCATACTTGCCAATGTTAGGATCAGCCTAATTAGCCTGGCTCCCTCAGATTTCAGGCAGCCGTTGATCCCAAGTACCAGTATCACGCCACTGTCATTCATGCGTCCAAGCCACTCAAACACTCCGAAACCCTGCGTGCCGCATCGCGAGATGAACCGCTCCTCGCCACGGGTAACGGCAATGCTCGGACTCCGCGGGATCTACGCTTGATACCGAGCGATGGGGTTGGGATGGCCCTTGTCAGGGTGTGGTGGTCATGGGTGGGGTGCGGACAGTGTGACGCAAGGTCGGGAGGGGAAACGGTGGTCAAGCTTTGGGTGTCTCGGGAGCCAAGAGCTTGGTGTCGGAGCATGTGTATGATTGCAAATACGATGGTCATTGGACGGTAAACCCTATAGTTTGCTTACGATGAATTGGTCATCGTGATACTTCGGTGTATTCTACATTCCTTTTTTCCATCCCTTTGCTAACCACTCATTGATCTCTACCAGCCCTTCTATTTCCTTCACTCCGGGTTTGATGCCATCGCCTACACTGGTATCATGAGCCCCAATGACCCATATGTTGTCTTTCTGTGCAAAGTCCCTCGTGCGCAGCATTGTGTCCACTGCTTGCTCTGGATCGGCGTGCATGCCCGACTTCGCATACGGTGGTCGCGCAGTGCGTTTGGGCTCTTTGAGAACGTCGAGATGATGGTAACAATCACCAGCCAGCAATACAAATGTATTCTCGTTTTCGGTCGAGCCCGATGTCGTTCGTACTAGCATCATTTGATGACCCGGAGAATGTCCCGGCGCATCCACAATGTATGCTGAGCCATCGCCAAAGACGTCGTAGGCGCGATCAAAGGCACCGAGGCCGATCCATTCAGGCTTCTTTAGATCGACAGCAGCATACTTGCCCTTTACCATGCCTTCCATGACCTGACCTGCCCTTTTATCTCCGGCGTCTCTCAAGACATCGTCTGGTACATAGCTCTCCACAATCTTTCTGCTACCATCAACCGGCAACGTCTCACTAAGCGTAGGAGCTTTCTCATCAATCGGATAACCAGGTCTCGCATAGGTACAGCAGGTCGGTCCAACCCACAACTCCGCCTCCTCAAACCCAGCTTTGGCGCCATCGCCAACATGATCAAAGTGCATGTGCGAGAAGATAACAGCCTTGACTTTCTCAGGCTGCTGATCAGGTGATCCATGCTCTTGCAGTATCTCCGCTGGAGACTTTGGCTCGCACTTGAAGTTTGGTAAAGTGTTTTCGACGAGAAGAGGCGGAAGGTTCTCCAGATCTTTTCGCATGCCTAAGTCGAAAATGTACTTGTTCCCGGTAGCTGTATGCTCGATGAGGAACACGTAGTCTGGGGCATAAAACGCCTTCCTTTTTCCATTTTCATCTTTGGAATCTTTTGGGTCTTGCGGCTTGTCTGGACCGGGCAGCATGACCATGTCCGTGGGGATGTGAATACCGCCGGCTTGAATGAGGTGGATTTTGCATGTTGCGGTGGAAGAGGGTATGGAATGCCATGGTAATTGACTTGGTGAGTCGGACATGATTCTGATAGTTACAGATTGCTATTGGGATGAGAGTGTGTCCAGGTGGTGCTCGGAATTGGTTTATTTAAACAAACTGTATAGTTGCTGACCTTAGTATGATATGCCCTTGTATCGATGACGTCAATTACATCCATTTCCAATATTGTGCCGCATATTGCGTGGAAGCTCGCTCAAGTTCCAGCTGAAGCTTGAGAATGGTAAGCTACAGCGTATATCTCGTAAGCATACATGCTAACTTATCTGACTTTATTGCTGCTCCTCGAGATCACCTGCATGTCGGCGCCCGCGCACACATCCATCTTGTGCGGTCAGGTTCGAATCAAAGTCGTGTGAGCGCGGACTTGTTTCGCCCTTTGGAAAATTTCATCGTCTTGTATACCGAAACTTATACACCTACGCATTCCCATCGCAAAATGGAAGTGCGATCTCGAAAGGATTTGGAAGGGCCTCCCGCCGAATGCGGACTAAAATGACGCGCTAGCCACGCGAGCAATCAGGCGCGTCTACCAGCTCCTTCTCATCTTCTCTCAGCACTCTTCCTCTCACCTCATCTCGCATCGCAACACAGCCGATCACCGGCAGCAGGTCATGCGAGGTTATTCGAGGCATACGAATCCACTTAGTGAAAATTGATCGCTCACACTGACCATGACTAACCCATCTATATTCCCTGACCCAGATCCGCAAAGGTATCACCGAGTGCTGCAACATCTCGCCAACGTCCGTGCTCATGGCTTTTCACAAGCACCTGTGCTCACTCCAGCACTGCAATTCTTCGACGAAGATGCCTCACGGTGGTTACCATCTCATGCACCAGCTCAACCGCAATCGACAGCGGCACCTGAGCAAGGAAATCATTATCCTCAGGCAATCCCACTTCAACGACTCACTCTCGAGGGCCTGAACAATGATGTTCTTGCCATCGTCATGGACTTCATTTGTGAGGCGCAGACATCCGAGGTCAAGCGCCGGAAGGATGGATGTGGAGTACCAAAGACGAGATTTGACTATCGCAGGGAAGGAAGTTCCCTATTCTGCTTGTCACTCGTAAGCAAAAGGATGCGAGCAACCGCTATACCCATTCTATTCACACACGTTTTCCGCGATGCCTCTTCTATGGGAGATCTCAATCGGCGATTAAGAGACATGGAAGGGAATCCGCTTGTTCCATCGCTCCCTCTGGCTCTCCCAGCCATCAAGTACGTACGCAATTGAGTTGTGCGGATGTTATGTATCTTTCTCAGTATACTAATGCCACGCGCAAAAGACCTGTGACATTGTCGTCACTTCGGAAGGCAAAAACGCATTCTGCAGAACCCGCCTTGCCAAAGCCCTTCCCAAGATGGAGCCTCTCGTTGAGCTTTCCATCACCCATCGAAAGGAGGTTAACATACCCGGTCTTAGAGCCACATTCCAACGCCATGAAGTTAATATCTCTAGCATTTTACGCCTGCGCATCTTGTCACATGGTAGTTGGTCATTCCTAGTAGAGGCTTGTCCTAATGTCGAAACATTGGCTCTGGAGTACGATCTCGACCAAGATGATGCAATGCTTGCGGCCGGGGCTTTGGAGAATATAAAGCGTTCCGAACTCTGCTGCGACACGTGGCGAAAGAGGGATGTACAACGCCTGCAACAGTACTTGCCAGACATCCAGAGTCCAGCCTTGCGAGGCTCCGTTGACCAGGAAAAATTAACTGTAAGCTCGAGCGCGGGACGCATTGTTTTTCTTGGGACACTTCGATATTGACTTAGCCACAGAGCTTCGCTGAAACGTTTGGCTTGTTCAAAGCTGACCGAAATCGCGGTTACTATCATACAACAAGTCACGGACGAAGATCTCGAAGACCAATTTTCCGACGATGGGTCAGGAACTTAGGGTGTCTTTGGGGAAATGCTGGAGGGTCATGAGCTTGATGAAGAGGAAAGCGTCGTCGCTTTGAAGTTCTTCGAAAATTGCCCTGTACTGGAAACATTATTCCTAGTGCGCTGTGGCTGGGTCACGCTTTGGCATCCCACACGTGGAAGCGAAGGAGTTGTGGAGTCGGTCCACTGTCCAGCGAATAACTTTGGAACATGGCTCGAATCTCACAAGTTTTTAAATACAGAACCATGATGTTGAAGGGTTCCCCAAGCTATTTAGCTTCCCTCGACAAGCCAACATATGCGACGAAACCTGGGATCCTCCTACTTACGGGAAAGAGAGCAGTGAGGCCAGGGAACACAGGGTAAGTGCAGTCTTTGTGTAAGTAGACGTAGGCGTAACATAAATCAGGTTAAAGAGCGAGACAGGTATTATTATATCAAAGAGGAGGCTCTCCAACTGGACCTGTGGGAAGGAGGCTCTAGGAGGTATGAATAGCTAACATACCGTCGCGTACATCGGCATACGTGGATATGTCATTACTCGGCAGCCGACTGGAAGATACTTGTCAACCCTCACAAGGATCTTTGTAGATTATATGACACTGCGATGCGCGTGGCTACCTACCTTTCTATCAATGTGATTGATAGCTTTTTTACGTACCCTCAGTCGTCTCATTCCGTCTTTCCCTACAAGACTGTGCACTTTTTCTTCGCCTTACACTCATCACACTCGCCGCCCTCATCATCTTGATATATCACTTCCAAATCCTCCAAAGGCTCCGGACATCGCACACCTCTACGATTAGAATCCTGACACCCATTCAACGTAGTGTCCTTATGTGTTGGCCACTATTTCGAAGTTAATGTATGTCTTATATGCGTTTCGTATGCCTTAGATCTTACCTCAGTGTATGGGTCTGATTGATTAGCATCCTCTTTGGCACTTGGGCGTTGGTAGCCTGGTTCGTGGATAGGAGAAACATGGCCGCATGCGTACTTTGTAGGTCGGAGGTAGCACATCTGTAGCGACGATGAGGATGCAGTGGGTTTGCAGTGGGTTTGAAGTGCGTGGCAGGTGTGTAGTGTTGGAGCTATGGCGATATCAATCAGTTGTGAGTCAAATGTACGTGATCAATGTTGCTACTTGTTGATGGACTTGAGAATTGAGAAGTGAGAAGCGCTAAAATGAAGACCGGCGTGATATAGTGGGACATTAGCGGAGAATTAGCGTGGCGTTCTAGTTAAGGTTTTCTTTGCGTGAATGGACATTGTTGCTCGGATCTCTTCACAGCCTCCGCACGGCGCCTCCGCTAGCGTGGCTGCGAGTATGGTCATGACACATCACCCGCACAGTGTACACAATGGTAGAACTTCAAGAATGCTTACAAGACAGACTATGCGTATAACCGCGGTAACAATCAATGCCCAACGCCGGAATCGAATCAATACAACGCTCGGCCAATCCGTCTCCGCAACCAAGTATAAAGTCGAATATATACACTTGAGATGAAGGTAAGGATATGCCAGCAAGCCAAAGACTACTTGACCAGTATCGGGGCTGCCTTGCCGGCCTTTTCTGCGGCAATGTTCGCTAGCTTCTGGAGTTTCTCGGCGCGTACTTGGCGGAAGTATCGGAAGAGCAGGATGAAGGAAAGCTCGATGCGCTCTTTGGTCATCATGAGGAAACCCTGGACAAGCAGGCCCTTGAGGATCTGGGGTCCGATGCCCTTGAATAGCGCCGCTGGGCCTTCGTGTTGTATGATGTATTGCATGACTTCGGTGAAGGATTTGAAAGGCTTTCCGTTCCTGGCTGGTGGAGGCTTCGATTGAAGACCGACTTTCGCGACGATGAGCGGCTGGGTTGCGATTGTGGCAAGCGTCTTGGACATGGCTCCGATGACTGACAGATGTTAGTAGCTTTCCTTGAGTTATGGTAGTGGCCGTGACTTACGGAACGCCTCGAGGGGCTTCAGCGTCTTCTTTCCTGGGTACATAACTTCCCGTAATCGCTGGTAGGCTCCGTATGTGATTGATGGGTTGATGACGAGCACCAGACTCGCCCTAAGTCCTCGCCAAAGCCCCGTCCAGCCGTCATCGCCGTTGACCACGTCCATAGCCGTAGCGATCATACCCTTGCGCTCCGCCTTGCTCATAGTCTGTTGCCTCGTCGTTACGACTGCGACGGGGATTGTGAAAAGCTGGGCGAGCGCTCCCGCAAGCGCTCCAAGGGAGAGTTCGACCGGTGTGCTTGGTGATGTTTGAAGCGTGCGGTTCGCCATGTAGAGGCTGCGTACAACGGTATACCAGTAGAAATAGGCGAAGTTGGTCGATGCTACGCCGAGCAGAGAGCCTCCTATGCCAGCATATAGTCCAGAGAGACCCTCCTGCGCAAAGACTTTCTGTAACGCGTCGAGGGCGCCATCGTAGTGTTCGTGGTCGGCGGGATTGGGGTCGTTGGACGTAGGCGAGCGCTTAATCTGCACCTGTAGTCGCGTCTTGATCCTGAGGTTGTGTTAGTATCTTTTCCTGCTGCCCGAGAAGGCTCGGGGGGATTTGCGACGTACAAATCTAGGGGATAGACAAGGGTGTTTGCGATGACGGCACCAGCGGCGCCTGCGACAGCATTACCCCATGGTGGCAGAGTTTCTACCTTTGACTGACCGGCCATGGTGGTGGTCGAGTACAGTTGCTAAGGCTTGGCTGAGTGTTGCGACTGCGAAGTGTGTGACGGACGGAGGGTGTGGTGTGGAGTCAGTGATTAAGTCGGACTATCTCATCATGACAGCAGTAATCTAAAGGTTGGAGATAGCAGCATCAGATGTTAGAAAAAGCGGGCAGGGGACGTTCATGGTGCCCGCAACGCGATAGCGCTGTCGCATGCATGGCTGACCTCTCCCGAGGTCCTAGAGGCCGAGGTTCAGGTTCGGATGACGACACACCCTGCTCCCTTGGACCTTCCTTCACCGCAGCCGCTGTCGATCATTGCGGTGAAAGTGAGCAAGCCGCTCCTGGCTCGATATGCCTCACACGTGAAGGGCGAGGCCTAGATTAGTCACCTATGTGCTACGACTGGCCGTTCCTGCTGCTGCAACTGCCAGTCGCGACGGCCGTTTGGCAGGAACGTGCGTTACGCTAAGACTTTCAGCCCCAGATCACAACATCACAACACCAAAGCACCATCACAGCTTCTTAGTGCGCCTTTGACTCCACTTCCCCATAGTCAGTCGCATCGCTATGGCACAACGCAAGTAGCTTCGTCGTCGCTGCTAGTATTGGTCATATTTCTCTTACCGTGTTCTGTCTCAAGCCATCCACGATGGCTGATCAGGCCACTGAGATAGAGGCTTACAAGGCGGCCGCAAGCGTATGTGATACACACAACTAACTTCTCGCTGCAACAACAAGTCCTGCGTTGTAGCTCCGACTAATCAAGCTACCAGGACTATCGCTCACGGGTTGACACAGCTGCTACCAAGGATGAAGCATTCAGCCTCGCAATTAGCGTGGCCGAGAACCTCATGGAAGCGATCCAGATATCGACAAACCCAGACGAAAGGAAGGAGCTCAAGGCGCAATGCAGCGAGATGTTAAGTCGTGCCGATCGCATCAAGGCCGCTCAAACATGGACACCTCTGGTCAAACCCCAGGCCTCAAGCTCCAGAGACGAGCGAGTAGGTCAATGGGCCAAAGAGGTCGCCGGGACTGCGACTCCAGGCACGACCTTTGAAGACTCCACTACGCGTTCAAACACATCCCGTTGGAATCTTTCTTCGACTACTGGACCTATCAATGGTCCAGCAGCTTCAGGTAAATCATCAGCTTCTTCGTTTTCAGCATTCGTTCATCAGTCAGACCTCTCTTCAGCCGTTCCTACTTTCCAGCAAGATGCGCGCCGAGATCTAATGCCGCTTATTGATCTTTCGAATGACGCCTTTCCAATCCATGTACCAAGTGCAAGCACTGATGCGTCACACGAAGATAGCTCGAACGCCAACATTGACCGTGATAACCATCCGAAGTACGGACACGATTCCGTATTGAATTCGTCTGCAGTGCCACAGCCCTCTAGCGCAGAGTCCCAGCCTGGAGTACCTGAGTCGCAAACAGCGGCTCTAATGTCCTCAACCGCACCTCACTCTCAAATACACAGGCTACGAGAGCCGGTTTCAAACAGGAAACTACCCGCAAAAGAAAGCATTATCTTGTTGAAGGCTTCCATAGTCAATGGCTTCAAGTTTCCACCTTGGGACAAGACTCCATCTGCGGATGAGTTTGTCTCGGAAGGCGAGGCTGTCTACACGTACGTTACCCGCTGCTAATGCAGAGATTGTGCGGACATGCTGACAGCGACAGTGAAAATCGGGATCTGAGTCTGTCTTCATACCAGCAGCAGTTCTTTCTCGGCTGGCTGCGTGCCAAAGAGGCTGTGCCGCCACCCTCGCAATTCCCTAACGGTAGGGCTGGTATTGGGCCCTTGATGTCTAGCACGAGGCCTCTAGATCTTGTACAGGATGCAGCTTCAGATTGCTCGGTGGTCACAAGCTTATGCGCTGGTATTGCTCGCTCAGAACGCGGCCACGATCAGGTTTGCCATGCTTAGAAACTCTGCAGCCTCGGTACTAATTGTGGTAGATGCTCACGAACAAGATATATCCATACGACAAGCACTTTGGAAAGCCAGTAATCTCGTCTAATGGCAAGTATATCGTACGACTTAACTTCAATGGCTGTTGGAGAAAGGTCGTCATCGATGATCGACTACCTGTCTCAAAGACACATCGACTGCTTCATGTTTTCGACCGCCGTAATCCAGCACTCTTATGGCCAGCGCTGCTTGAGAAAGCATACCTGAAAGTTCGCGGTGGTTATGACTTCCCCGGAAGCAACTCGTGCAGTGATCTCTGGACAATGACCGGCTGGATACCAGAACAGGTCTTCTTGCAAGAGTAAGTTGTGTCTTCTCCCAACCCATGGCTGACCATACTGACCCTTATAGGGCTGATACAGTCCCAGATCAGATATGGAAGCGCATATACAACGCCTTCATGTACGGCGATGTTCTGGTCACAGCAGGTACTGGCAAGATGTCGACCAGGCAGGAGCGTGAACTTGGTCTCGAGGGCCAACACAGTTACGTCGTGCTGGACATGAAGGAGACGGAGCATGATCGTCTGTTGCTCGTCAAGAACCCATGGGTCGAAGGCAAAGGTTGGCGCGGCCCTCGCCCTTCGGCTGTGACGACCATGAATCTGCCTGCATCTACCTCAAGTCGTGCCTCCAACAACAGCCTTGAGAGTTATCACAGGGATAGCGTCCCCACTCAAGATCGACCGCATCCAACGACATTCTGGATCGGCTTAGAGCAAGTCATACAACATTTCGAGAGTCTGTACCTGAACTGGAACCCTGGCCTCTTCCGCTATCGACAAGATATCCATTTCGAGTGGAACATAGAGTCATCGTCGCCGGGCGGCTGCATTGTCAAGCACCCACAGTTCGCCTTTGCGTCCAGAGGTGCTGGACCCGTGTGGTTCCTTCTTAGTCGCCATTTCCGGGACGTACCAGCAGTCACCAAAGAGGAGTCAGATGCATTCAACGACGGAAGCATTCGCCCCGACTCTCAAGTCAACACCCATGGAGATGCACCGAAGGGATACATGAGCATATACATCTGCAATGGCCAAGGAGAACGGCTATACATGAAAGACACGTACCTGGAATCGAGCGACTACGTCACTACACCGCAATGTCTTCTTCGCGGCGATGCTGACGCCAAGTCCATATATACAGTGGTGATTGATCAAGACGACTTGCCTCCGTCATTGTACACCTTCTCCTTGTCTGCGTTTGCAAACTTCCCAATCACACTGGAACAGGCGGCGCAGCGATACCCTTTGCAAACGACCGAGGAAGGCGCATGGACAAGGCAGACGGCCGGTGGTGGTACGGACTCGTCGAAATATTTCGACAATCCTCAGTATTCTCTCACTGTCCGCGAACGCAGCTCACTAGCCATCTTACTCACCAGCACGAACCATGAGCATCCCTTACACGTCAAACTTGCTCTAGGATACGGAAAGAGGTTATATCGCTTGCAAAGTCGCGATGTGCTAGCAGACTCGGGTGACCACCGCAGTGGATGTGTTCTCGCAGAGATCAAAGACCTTCAACCAGGCTCCTACACGATCATTTGCTCCTTGTTTGAAGCTGGTCTGACCGGTGACTACCAACTCCGAGTTGACAGCACAAGCGAGGTGGTGTTGAAGCAAGTGCCGCGCGACGGGGCGGGATTGCTCTCGATGAAGCTCGCTCCGGCGTGCTTTGGTGCCAGCATACACAAAGTTGCTGCCCCATTGTGGCCTAGGCGCCTGGCGTCATACACTATCATCGCCAGATTTTCGAAAGCAACGAGCCCTCGCGCCGTCGATTTAGGCAAGCTAGCCCGCAGTCCGTTCCGGTTGAGTGTTGAGATGGGTCGAGGCCCGGAGCGCAAGTTCATCATCGCAAGTGAACAAGGAGAGTACTCTGACACTGCTACGGTTCGGTCCGAGAGCGTCAACATCGACCCGAAACTCGGGATGCAAGGCGAACTATGGCTCGTTCTGGATAGGCTGTCAGGCTCTGGGGGACCGGTAGAGGAATGGTACGACGTGGAAATCTACACCGACACACCCAAGGCCTGCGAGATTGGCGTATGGCGGGAATGGGATGACTGATGACTTTACGATAGCGCAAGGCACGATAGACGGCGTTTAGGGGTAACCGACGGTCATTTGCACTGTCGATCAAATCGATCACGCATTAGTCTGCACGACTGGAACTTTGGCGTCGTCGTGTGCATTTAGTGGAAGCGAGAACGTCAGGGTGCACCATCACGCTTGAGTTGATGGATTTGCGTCTCAGCAAAATAGATCATGAGTTCTCTTACACATCTCATGCGGTTCCACGTGTGTGAAGTAGGCTATTTGCGGGTGTGAAACCTGGTAGGGGTGAGAGTCGGTGGCGAGACTGCACCCAATCAAGCGATGCACGATCTGTTATGCATGTCCCTATTGCGCGTTTCGACCTTGCAGCAGACGCGCATGTTGGGATTAGAGGTACGATAACGGCACGCTAAGCAGAAGAACAGCAGCCCCTGCAACTTGAAGATAACCATAGCCATCTATCGGACTTGAATGTGCATGCTGTTTTCCACCTGCTACTGCTCCCCTTCCAAGGTTCTCTTCTCCACTACCCCGCTGCGACCAGGTCAAAGGCTATCGGCTGCGCTACGTCAGAGCTCCGGCGCGTGCCAAGTGAACCCGAAAAGCGCACCGCCTCAACACCTGACGACATCATCGATCGTTACCTCGATATAGCTTCGCGCTCCTATCTCCACTTGCTATTACTCTCTTGAGTAAAACCCATATCCCAGCAACCATGGCGGACCTTGCGCCAGAGAAGGCCCAACCGGGCTCTGCAACCACGTCCGCCCTCAACTCGCGAGACAACTCGCGGGCTGCCACACCTTCAAGTGCTGCCGTCGAGAAAGCTCCGGATGACAGCTCCAAGTTCAAGACCTTCCTGGGCATTTTGAGGAGGTAACGTAGCACCATCGGGTCACAGCAGACACGCGAAAGCTAACCGTGTCCTCCTCCAGGTTTATTGGCGTCTCCGACCTCGCTGCTGTCCGCTTCTCCCTCCCCGCACAACTCCTCGAACCAAGGCCAAATTTGGGTACGTTATATGAATATGGAATTGCGATGGATATCCTCGCAAGTCGCTGTAGCCGGACTATCATCTGACAGAGAGCAGAGTACTGGCACTACTTGGACAGGCCCGACACGTTCATCAGGTCGGCATAAGTCAAATGCACATTGCAGAAGCTGTTACTGACCTCCACAGTATCGGAGATTCGGATGATGATCTGGGGCGCATGCTCGGGTGCTTGCGCTTCTGGTTCACCAAGGACCTGGTATGAGGCACGCCCCGGCGAGGAAGGCATAGCTAATGCTGGAACAGAAATACGTCAAGGGCAAGCCTTGCAAGCCCTACAACTCTACATTGGGCGAGTTCTTCAGGGTACGCGTCCCTTGGAAATCACATGAGCTGGTTACTGACTCTCGCAGTGCAACTGGAAGATCGAAGACACCCACCCTACCCTCAAGACCCCCAACTCGGCTCCCTCGAGCGCCTCCAACAGCGTCAAAGGCGATGGCAAGACCGTGACCGTCTCCTATCTCACCGAGCAAACCTCCCACCACCCTCCCGTGTCCGCCTTCTACGTCGACTGTCCTGAGAAGGGCATTAGTGCGCGAGGTTACGATCAGCTAAGCGCCAAGTTTACAGGTACAAGCGTACGAGTGGTGGCTGGAGCGCACAACCTGGGAATCTTCATCACCCTGAAGAATCGAGGCAATGAGGAATACCAACTCACTCACCCAGCCGCCTACCTTGGGGGTATTCTACGAGGTAGGCTATGAGAGCATACAAGTACTGTTACGGTGCTGATTTTTTCTACAGGCTCCCTCAATGTCTCTGTCGCGGACAGCTGCTTCGTTACCTGCCCAAAGACTGGACTGAAGGTCATCCTAGAATACCAGGAGGAAGGCTGGCTCGGTCGATCACAAAACAAGGTCTTGGGTGTCATTTTCAAGTACGACCCCAACAACGATTCGATTACCAAGATCAAGGATGTCTCGGAGAAGGACGTCCTCGCGCGGATAGAGGGCAACTGGCAGGACAAGGTCTACTATACCCTTGGCAGCAAGCCATTTGCTAAGGTCGCTGTAAGTACACTGAGCGGCGGTCTGGATCACAGTCTGACATCAAGCAGGAGAAGAACCTCATCATCGACCTCAACCCGCTTGATCCCGTAGCCAAGATCGTCCCACCGCTCGAACAGCAGCTTCCCAACGAGTCCCTCAAGTTCTGGGACGGCGTCACGAATGCCATAGTAGGCAAGCAATATGGACTAGCGACGAACCTCAAGACCGAGATAGAAGAGAAGCAACGGCAGAAGGCTGCAGAGCGAAAGGCGGCGGAGAAAGAGTGGAAGCCACGATTTTTCACCGGCGCAGTCACACCTGTCGGTAGGCCAGACCTCACCAAGGACGGCGAGGAAGCGCTCAAGGGCCTGCATGCAGAGAACTATCAACTGCCGCCAAACGAGGAGTACGCCGCATTTTGATCGAACCCACTCATTCCGCAAACTTGCCTAGGAGGAGATTGCACCACCCGGACGAACCAGTACAATAGGACCTTCACTACGATATCCATTACATCTTGACACTTTGGGGAACATGACACCATCATTTGGCATCATTTACAACTTCGGCACGCGTTTTGTTAGCTAGGAAGAAGGGGAGCATGGCTAGTTCGGCGTTTCGTACATAACATTTGGGGACTTACACATATGGTGTCTGTGTCTTTTCTGTCACGATTATCTTACGAATAGATCTCTCAGACTGCTTGCCTTGTTAGAGGCTCTCTGTCGGTTGACTCCCTTCAGTGGGAACTTTGACTTACACACAAAGACTATCCGAACGCGCCTACTTCATTCCCACGCAACAACTTGAGCAAGCCATCGCGACCAGTTTGACGAGAGTGAAGAAGGCTATGTGGCAGTTGGAATCTGACCTACGTGCGAAGGGGGCGTATACGAAGTCTCCAAGGTGCATGCAAACCCTGTTGTTTGAACAGTCTCGGAAGGGTGTTCCAGCTTGATTAGGCAGCGAATGGGTGAGGGATAGGCCTCTGGCTTGCTGAATAGATAGAAACGGACAATGGTTCAGTCCACCTTTAAGGTTCATTGTATCAATGGAGTACCATTACAGGTCAGTCAGGTTCATCGAGCTGGTTAGATCATTGCCTCGTCTGCATATCATGGGTATCAACAAACGTGCGCGCATTTGTTCCATGATTTCTCACGTCTTAACGAGGGATGATATCAAAAAGAGACAAAAACACGTTATAAAGAGGCAAAAAGTACGCGTTGTATTGTTTTATGATTTTTTCTCTCGGTTTGGCGACATGCTTTATTGCGAAGAAATCGAACACCAAGAACCCAGAGGTTGTGATTGTACTCACATCGGCGATATACACCAACAGCCTAATCTGCGCATCGCGGTCGCTAAATATATCACGTCACAAGGGTCGGTTCATAACAGCTAAGATTTTGTTCATTTTTTGTGTATTTTTGTATGGTTTTGATGCCAAGCAAGCGAGGGTCGCGACCTGATCATGAGTCGAAGGGACATAGCTGAGCGGCACAATGAAAAAAGCATCGCAAGCTCTAGATGAGAGTCGCATGACGAACTGCCGCGGTGGATCTGCAGGCGACGATGAAAGACTTGAACAACGCCGCCGGTATCCGCCACGCAATGCAATGTCATCGGTAATCCGTCGTACGCCACAGAGTTCGCCAGTACTAATACAAACAAGTATTTACACAAGGTACTACATACCATATCGAACGCAACGAGTGCTGCGCATGTGAGCAAGGTTGAGCAGGAATGTCGTAAAACACCACCTCGTAAACGCCCCGGAAAAGCACCGTCATCAAGCGGTGTCGTGATCAGAACAGCCAGCTCACTGCAAACCAGCCTTATTGGTCTTGACAGTATGGGGAATAGGCTTTAGGATGCCCTTGTTGTCGCCAGCGCCCAGAGCCTCACCGTTAGACCATCCCATCCTCATCATGAGGGCATGGCCCCTGTTCTCAGGACCAAGCTCTGGGGCATTCGCACCGACAGTCTCGCCATCCTTGTAGCCCAGTTGAGGACGTGAGCGCACACCACCTTGTTTGTGCTTGACGGTGGAATACTTGCCAGGACGGCCGCCGCCGCCGCCGCCCTGGGAATAAAGAGGACCTTTCAGGCGTTTCTGGAAGCCCTTCTTTGCAATCGCAATATCAAATTCGTCGTCGGTGTAGGTACGGGTGCGATTGGTCTTGGAAAGGATGGTGAACCTGTCCATACCATCGCCACGAGAACGAGAGTTCAAGTTGAAGAATGAAGCGGCTTGGTGGACGGTGGCGCGACGATAGGCCTCCATAGGTGGGAGAGATAGTGTCTGCATGTCCCCCAGCAAGAACTCACGAAGCTCTTCGACAATATCCTCCATATCGATGCCACCCTGGTACTTGACCTTGAGGTTGGGGCCCTTACCCTTGCGACCTAATAAGCCCTGTTGACGCAACTCTTCACGCTCGGCCTTCTTAAGACGCTTCTTTGCCCTGTCGTTTGCCCACGCGCTTTGCAACTGCTCATTGAGATCTGAATCGTCCAGTTCTGGGGGTGGCTGACCACGTCGACCCTTCTTCTTGGGTTTAAGTGATGGGCGCTCAGTATCCATGATGTCAAAGCCGCCATATGGATCCATCTCGAGGGCTGCGACCATAGCAGAAGCGGAGGGGAAAGTAGGTTCCTTTTTGCCACGTCCACGGCCCTTTCCCTTTTTGCTGGATCTGCCATAACCGCCATATGAGTAGTTCTTCGAAGGGCCCGATCCATCAAAATAGTCATCGCCACCATAAAGCATCACCTCGTCACCACCTAGGCCGAGCTCTTCTTGCTTCTGCAGGACCTTTGCGATGGTCTCATCATCCCACTCTTCAGCTTCTTCTTCATCTTCATCGTCCTCAGAGTCCCCATCCTCAGAGTCGTCCTCGGAGTCGCTGCTGGAGAGCATTTGCTGCTCACGCTCGCGAGCTTCTGCCTCAAAAGCTTTGATCAATAGCTTCTCGTCGCCAGTCGTAAGGTGCATAGGTGAAATCCAGCGAGCTTCGTCTGTTATCGAGTCTTCGTGTACGCAGAGATATTGGAGGCCACTTTTGCGGATGCGTTTTGACAGAATCCGAACGACTTTGTCCGCAACATCTGATGCGGTGTCCATGTCGTCGAAATCCTGTAGCATATCCGAGTCCCAGTCGTCAGTGCCCTCGCCTGCACCTTCGTTGCCGCCGTCTTCGCTTCCAGATGCTGACTCCCAGTCGTTATGACTGCCCGCATCCAGATCCATCTCACGACGTACGAAGCCAGACGAAGCCACCAGATCTTCGGTAAGACCAAACTCTTCCATGTTCTGCATGTAATCATCTATCGCGGCGTCGCGAGGGTTCACCTCGCCGCGCAGATAGGTGTCCATGTCAGGACGGGCATTACCAGGCAACCATCCGACGTTTGGTTTGCTCCGGTGTTGCCACTCGGTAGTTGTGCCTTCCCATGCGGGTCTGCCTCCTCTTCGCTTTGAAAACTGGTTTTGATCAACGTCATCGGCATCCGAGTCCACCTCTACCTCCAGCTGAGATGTAGCGTTCCCTCGAATGCTAAGCTCAACCGATACTGGAAGGTTGGCTATTGCTGCCACGGATGTATGATCGGTAGTAGAGGCAGCGGTGAGCTCGGGTGTCCGAACAGACGTCGTCTCTACTGAAGGGGTAGGTTGTGCTGGTCGCGCTGTTGCGTCTTCTGATGATATGGGGTGCGGCTTCGCGGTGGACGTGGCTTTGGGTGCCTGTTGCGCGGATGAGGTGACGGCAGGCGCAGCTGGTGGCTGGTTTCCACGGCCTCTGAATAGCACTTCGTCGGCGCTCGAAGATGAGGCTTCAGAGAGCGCCGGTGAGGGACTGCGAATCGCCATATGTGCCATCGCTGTCGAGTTGTCGGGCGTGGAAGAGGGCGAGGACGGTGTAATGGGTTCAGCGCTGGAATCCGACGAAACCTGGGCCGTCTCTGCATCGGGCGTGAGCTTCTTCAGCGTGCCTTCGAGGTGACCGGCGCTTATGAACTCGATGGGCATGTGTCGTAATTTCTTGCCAGCTTCAAACGCAGCGGTGCGGTGACTTGACATCCATTTCGCTTCGTCCTTGAGAGAGAACTTGGAGGCGGTCGCGGCTGCAACGGTCAATACAGCCCAATCTTAATGTGGCGATTGGGGAAAGAGCGCAAACGTACTCTCCTCATGTGCTGGCCATGATTGGTATGAGTGGCGTTTGGACTGCGCGCGCTGCGGTGTGCCCTTGGCTGAGCCGCCTTTGGCCTTGCTCTTGCCCTTTTTGCCCTTCGACATAGCGACAGCGGTACGACAAGCTTTGCGCGGTGGAAACGAAGGAAATAAGGAAAGAGCGGTGTTGGGGAGGGTTTGGAGATGATGCGCTCTTCAATGTCTCTAACAGTCGCGAGTGGCGCGGGGCTAGTAATGATGCGCAGGGTTAGCTAGCTTAGCGGAGCTTATGACGATAGAGCCGCTGGTTATCGCTCCCCAGTGAGCGTTGGAGATGCTTGGACAGTGCAGCAGCTTCTGAGCATAAAGTCCATCATAGAGTGAGTGAATGAAGTGCGCTTGAAGTGCGGTGATGTATACGCGGGTTCTGCATACCCTGGCCAACGCATTCCAGGAACGTGATTGCCACGCAGTGACACAGCCAGGTGATAGCGACCGCAGGCCCCTCCCCCGCGGGAACCTAGGTTCGTAGAGCCGCATCTGACCCTCTGCGGCTGGCTGCACCAACCCAAGAAGCTCGACATCGTGTTGCTACACTCTGCTTCAACCCACCGTCTGGTATCGTGGGTATGTGCAAATAGTCGTGGCAAGTAGGAACGCGTGCAGTCAGCTCTAGGCAACCTCATCTCGGGACCTCCGCATCACCTCCGCATCCATCGCCGCCCTGGCCACAACACCTTCTGTTGCAGCCATCATGCATGACTTCGAGCGCGTCAGCCGCAACATCGTCCGCACCTTCTACGATCCTCCGCCGACCAACGACTCCAACGACCCCGTATGGCTGCTAGGCCAGCGTTACGACCCCCGGCCGCCGCCGTCCAAGCCTACGCCCACTGATTCCCCAGCTGCCGGGACGCCCGCACCCACGCCCTTGTCCGAACGTAACGAAGACGAAAGCTGGATAAGAACCAGCATCGAAGAGTCCGAGCGCAAGGAAGCTCCAAATGGCGAGGATCCAGCACAATACGGCAACTGGCCCTCTGCCTTCCTTGATGACTTCGAGTCGCGCATCTGGATGACCTATCGCTCTGGCTTTACGCCAATCCAGAAGAGTCAGGACCCAAAGGCCACAAGCGCTATGAGTTTCCGCGTGCGCATGCAGAACCTCGCCTCGCCTGGATTCACGTCGGATACGGGCTTTGGCTGCATGATCAGGAGCGGGCAGTGCATACTCGCCAACGCGCTGCAAATGCTCCGTCTTGGACGGGACTGGAGATACCAAGAGAAGCCTGATGTGCCGGAGCATCATGAAATACTCTCACTCTTTGCTGACGATCCGAAAGCGCCCTTCTCGATCCACCGCTTCGTCGAGCACGGCGCTGCTGTATGCGGAAAGTACCCTGGCGAGTGGTTCGGTCCCTCGGCG